GGCCACTGTCGGCCATCGTACCAAAGATCTGAGTTACCGGATCTCACAGGCCATATAATACGTCTAGACTCTGCAAGGTCTAGGGGGTAACTACTGAAAACTATTTACATTCTATTTATATACATTATAAGGATCTCGATCCCGATCATAAATATATCGCACATCACTACATTAGCAATACTATTCCCCTACCGGAAAGTGTTATCTGGTTCCCATTTAAAATTTAAAATGCTATAATTCCGTCAAAAATCACTGAAGCGGAACGAAATGCAAACTTGGTTTATTAATTATCAAGGTAAAGTCACGCCAAAATCAGCTCAATATCTGCAAGCGTTTAGAAAAAAAAGATGAGGAAAACCCTTAAAAATTAAAAAAGCCGTTATTCTGTCCAAATCATTGAAGCGGAACAAAATGCAAACTTGATCTGTAACTCATTAAGATACTCTTACATACCAAAAATCAGCTCAATATCTGCAATCGTGTAGAAAACATGCAGTTCGGAAAACCAAGTGGGACAGATTAACAGATAGACAAAGGGAAATGCAGCTAGACAGCTAGTCAGACAGAGGGACAGACGCAGAGGAAACCTATAGTCTCCTCCAGTTTCACCGGTAGGGGACTAAAAATGGATTTGTGTACTGAAGTAAGTTTGAAAGCTTCATTGTCGATCAACAAAACAACCAGCCAGTCATATATCTTTAACTTCAAGAACAGTTTTATAATTATACAGTAATTAACTTACTACTAGTACATTAGTTTGATCTATAGCACAATATAATACAAAGCCCTTTAAATCGCATCTATATAACATGTCACAAAACTATCATCTCTTACACGCATCTCGACAATATGTCACAAAACTATCACGCTCTTACACGCATCTCTACCACATGTCACAAAATTATTATCTCTTAAACACATCACTACCACATTTCACAAAACTATCACTCTCTTCAAATAAAAAAAAAGAGAGAGCCATGGGCCACATCGCTCACCTGAGCACACCTGCTAGGAAGAAGCAGAAATCAGTTCAGTAAATTGAAAAGTTTTAAGGGGGAAGTGAATTAAATTTACGCTACCTCAGGATGCTTCTGTATCAATTTTACTAATCATGGCTTTGCTGTTCTTAAACAGAAGAATTTTGAAGATTTTTTCCCCCTATGTATTCCTATGTAAAACTGTGATTGGTCATTATGGCCCCACCCTACCCACCGTAAATTTGAACAAATTTGAATCTACACTACCTGAAGATGCTCATTTAGTAATATGACTAATCATGGCTTTGCTGTTCTTGAGAAGCAGATTTTTTCAAGATGATTCCTATATATTCTTATGCACAACTTTGACCCTCTGTTGTGCCCCCACCCCGGGGGGGGGGGGGGTCATGATTTGAACAAACTTGATTCTACAATACCCAGGGTTGCTTCTGTATAAATATGACAAATAATGGCTAAGTTGTTCTTGAAAAGAAGATTTCGAAGATATTTCCTATGTAACGTGTATGATCAGGTTCTTACAAGGGATATATAGGTTTTCCTTTTACTCTGTCTGCTGAGTTATTGATTGGATCGATTATTAAGAAAGCTATGTCTGAGGGTATACCACATAGTTAAGTACTTAAATTTCTCTTATCTAGAGATGGGGACTGGGTAAGGTACTACTTGCGCCGTGTTTCTTCCCTAGGTTCCCATTGATAGATAAGAACCAGTTGACTCAATCTTCTTCAGATTTACTACACCCAGAACTTAAGTACTTAACAAAGATTTTATTGAAGTCTATTGAGCATTTTTTTTTTAAATAAAAATTCAAATAATAAGAATATCAATAAATACTGTAGCGAAAAAAAAAGCACTAAAACACATTAGAAATAGAATGACAATTGAAAATGATTTTTTTTTACCAGGTAAGATTTTTAAAATTGATTTTTTTTTATTAATTAAAAACAGAGGGAGATAACTCTTACCAAAATTCAAGTTCATAAATTAGGACACACCATCCTTACATGCTAATAGTAATAAATGGGAATTATGTCCAAATATACTGAGTATTTAACACCTACCATCTGTTATGTATTCAATTTCTTTGAATCCTTTGCTATTTGGATGGAATACCTTAACGTCTTTATTGCTGATCCATCATCCAACTTCTTCATCTACCTGACTTTCCCAAAGCTTTGCCTTATATATATATATATATATATATATATATATATATATATATATATATATATATATATATATATATATATATATATATATATATATATATATATATATATATATATTAGGCTAGTCCACTTCAAGGGTTGTCAGGTCATTCCACTATTTAAAGTCTTCAATGCCCCTTAAACATTACACCTATATATTCATATGTAAACCTTGACCCACTGTTGTGGCCCCGCCTTACCCACAAGGGCCATGATTTGACCAAACTTGAATCTACACTACCTGAGGATACTTCTGTATTAATATGTCTAATAATGGCTTAGCTGTTCTTGAGAAGAAGATTTTTAAAGATATTTCCTATATATTCCTTTGGTAAATTTTGACACCCCCCCTCCTGTTGTGGAACTGCCTTATCCCCAGGAGTCATGGTTGGAACAATTTTAAATCTACACTACCTGAGGATACTTCTGTATTAATATGTCTAATAATGGCTTAGCTGTTCTTGAGAAGAAGATTTTTAAAGATATTTCCTATATATTCCTATAGTAAACTTTGACCCCCCCCCCCCCCCGTGGCCCTGCCCCACCCCGGGGGTTATAATATGAACAAATTTGAATCTAGAGTATGTAATGAAGCTTTCACGTAAGTTTCATATTTTCTTGCCCAGTGGTTCTTGAGAAGAACATTTTTAAAAGATGCCACCAATTTTTCACGAATTCTTAATTATCTCCTCTTGAAAGTGGGTGCGGCACTTCCTGTGAACAAACCTAAATCCCCTTCACCCAAGGATGGTTTGTGGCAAGTTTGGTTGAAATTGGCCCAGTGATTCTTGAGAAAAAGTTGAAAATGTGAAAAGTTTACAGACGACAGACGGACGCTGGACACTCTTTGATCAGAAAAGCTCACTTGAGCCTTCGGATCAGGTGAGCTAAAAAGCTTAGCCAACGAGTGCCCCGCATCTGCTCATCTCCTTAAGGACGGAACCAGAGCCAAGTCCTATCACCTATCACATTAAACCGATTCACCTATTTATGCCTGCTAATACTTATATATCTTAATATACATCAGGGATGGGGTCAATTACTTTAAAAAGTAATTAATTAAATTACAATTACTTTGACTTTTTCTTCAATTAAATTACAATTAAATTACAGGCTTGCTAAGACATGTAATTAATTAAATTACAATTACTTTGCAAAAGTAATTAATTAAATTACAAATTACATTTTTAATTTTTCTGAAAATTTTTATAATCCTTTTCAGTGAATATACAGAACATCATTTATTTGTATATAAGCCAGCCTCTGCACAAACAGTACAAGAAATAATATGCTATAGGCATTGTATATCATTGTGGTTAAATTTATAAGATTTATTTACAAAACATTAAAGAATCTCTTAAAGTACTATCCGAGATCAGTTTAATGCAGTTTCCACCAAACAAAACCTACATGTACACAAATTGCATGGCTTTTGATATTTGATTAAAAGTGGGCATTTCAATAGAGTAAAATGAGTGGCAACTGTAATGCCTAAAACTGAATATTTCCTTTGAAGGTAACCTGAACATCCTAAATTGCTATTTATGTTGAACAATTTTAATTCATAAATAATGCTTGTACAGATAGAAAATTCATTCATAAAAATCTGTTTACTAGATGTTAAAATAATTATCAAATTGAAAGTTTTTTTCCTCTTCTAAAGCTAGCGAAGCATTTTAAATTAAAATAATTATCTCTATGGCTTTGTCTTCTAAATCATGGAATGAATATCTCTTTAGAGGAGTTGATTTGTTTTGATTGCAATTTACAGCTGTGATCTGGAGGGCAATTATCTCTTCCCAACAAGCTTAAGAGAGAACTTAATTAATGACACATTGTTATTTATTATTGATCAAACAACAAAAATTTATTGTGTGTTTCATAGCTGTATAGTCCTAAGAAGGGTGGTTCAAAATTCAGATTTATAAACATAAATCAAAAAATTCCAAATTTACATAATGATTAGAAAGAAACTAGATTATTATTTATCAAGCCAATCATTTAATTATTTGTTTGTAAACATTAACAGTATAACTTAAGATTTTGCTTAATTGATGGATTGAGGATATGTTTTACAATTGAAAAAAAAACAGTACATGTAAAATGGGGAGGTAGAGGTAACATTATATTATGAATGTGTATTATATAAAGTAATTGAATGTAATTGAAAAAGTAATTGAAATTACATGGTATTTTTTCAGTGTAATTAATTAAATTACAATTACAAGTAATTGAAAAAATGTTCAATTACAAATTACTTCCAATTACTTCAAAAAATGTAATTAATTACAGTCAATTACAATTACTTTTTTCAATTACCCCATCCCTGATATACATGTATTGACGATAATGATTGAAGCATTGCAATAAAATAAAGCACATAAAATACCGATTTATCAAATGACCAACCTAGTAATTCACAGGAATGTGTATGCATTACTTACATTAATTTAGTTGAAAAGATGAAAAAAAGTGTTATATAGAATGCCTGATGACGTGTTTAATATCGTCTGATTTTTTTTTATTCAAGTAAAACTTTTCCCCCCTAAAATATGTGCTGCTGCCTCAGATCTATGAGATACAGTAATTTATATGACAAATTCTCCATCAACTATTTGTATATACGATTAAGAAAATTTCGTAATAATGTTTCGAGTTTCAATTACTCCATATCAATGTAAAGAAAACAAATAACATTTGACTGCAGTCTGCCACCGCCATGGAAAAGTTAGTCAAATTAAAAACATGCAACCAATTGAAAAAAAAAAACAAGTGCAATTTTTTATAATGCCGTTTTTATTCAATAAAAAAAGGTTATGTAGTTGTCAATGTATATTTCTTCTTTTTATTTATTTTCAACTGTAATCTTGGTCCTCGTCTATTCTGCAAAATGAAATGCACTTACATGTAAGAATTTTACATTCAAAAGAAAAATTACAAAAAGAACAGGAACAAAAAAGAGCATTTATAAATATGTGCTATCACAAAAAGAAGAAAATGTGAATTGTTTTGGCTAAAGGGAAAGGAATAAAGTTTTTAAAAATAAAATGACACACTAAAAAACACAACTAATATGAACAGAGAAAGTTGCCTAGATCCACCTTCCTCTCTCTTAGATAAGAAATGAGAAAATGTATTACCTTCTCCTGGGGACTGACATTGGAGAAATCACTTGAATCTGTTTTTTCAGTCAAAAAAGATTCAGTTTCCATTTCGATTTTAGTGTTTGCTGTCTTTTTGTTTGAAGATTTGCCTATTTTTGACAATATTCCCTTTCTCTGAAAAAAGTCATAAAAATGCCATTTTAAGACATTTAATAAAAGATCTTTTTTCAAGCTACACACGACTAAGATTTGCTTTTTGCTACAATTTTTTCAAGTTCAATTACATTTACATCCAATTTTTTAAACTCCGACCTTCGAATTACTTTTTAAAATTTATTAAAATTCATGATTACCCTTGACTTTATAATAGGACGATGAGAATCAGCTGAATGAGTCGGAGTCACCGGGGTTGACTCCTGTTTGCTTGACTCTGTCAACATCGAAAGTGCACTCAGGGCAGGGTATTTAATTATTATACCCTTAATTAGCTGAAATAAATCAAAAATGGACAGTCTTTAATTTTTTGATAATTCGAAATTCCACATAAGGTTATACCTGGATAATTCAATCTTTTAGAGTATGAAAAAATAGTTGTGAATGTCTACAAGAAATAAATTGAAAGTTTTTAGAATGATTGTGTATATCTATGTTTACACTATAAATATGCCTTACCTTTTTATTTAAAACCACATGCGAAATAAATATGAATAATCCCTGTAATGCAAAAGTATACATTTATTCATTAATTACAAAATTAATTTAAGATATACCCCATTAAATTTCAAACGATTTACACTTAATTTATTAAGTATATACATAATGTAGCTTTCCTTTTCATAATTGACTTATATAAACAATGACATAAAAATGTTAATTTTCTTTCTACAGTTTATATTATCCTTTTATTTTGAAATAGGACAGTGCATATAATATTTTTGCCTTATTTTTTAAAAAAAAAAGATGGATAAATTTTATAGTTAATTCATTCCTTATCAAACAAACTTTATTTAATGGAGAAGAAATTGAATATTGTATTTGTTTCACTCTTTGTAGCTTCAAAGAAGATACAAACCTGTAAGGAATTGGCTATGATGAAAATGTACTGAAATATTTCAGCCCTATCGTTAACAGCTAAAACTCCAAATATCCAGGTAACGCCTAATACCGGAACAAGTGTACCCAGAGATCGCAATCCAGATCTGTTGAAATGAATTAACGTTAATAATTAGAGATTAATTGTAGAAGATAATTTTTTTCAAAGATTCTTAGTTTTGATTCTGCAAATATATTTTCATTTTCATTTCACTTTCAAATTTTACGTTGGATTGCATCATAAGATGCATGTGAAAGTAAGTGTTATCAATAAATGCTCACGCAGCCTTTTTGTAGAGTGACGAGTTTGCCATTGTAGATGTGGCCAACAATACTCGTATTAAGGATACAATAATAATGATGTTTATCTGAAATGTACGAAAAAGACTACCATTAATATACCTTTACAAAGAAAGTGTACACATTTTGTCTTTAATGTATTTGCACTAAAATAGAGATTAAAGATATTTATTGTTATATGTTTTAGACATAAGGAATTGCATAATTTATTTACGGATTATAAAAGCAAGATCCATTGATAACAGGAATTTTTTACCCTGTCTTATAACCAATAATTAAAAAAAACTGACCGGGCCTTTAAATTTTGACATACATATTGAATCTACCATTGTCAAAATTTTTCGATTTTTTATTTGACATATTCACATGTTAACTTCTATTTCTAATTATAATGTAAATAAATTGTCCTATTAACATGAATATCAACATTTATCATATGTTAATTGTTTCACGGAAATGACCTGAATGGTTTTCTTAAAACCCATGATTCCAGACGGGAATACATTATATATAATTTTTTCAAACCTTATTTTACAAACATCAAAACAATGGAGTTATACACAAAATAAGTCGCAACCTGGGCATATGCTCTTTAATCAGTACATTTATAGGTTTAAAATTTTCTTATTAATGAAGAAATACAGACGGACAAAAAATGGAATCAATAACGTGGAATATCACTTTAATTTTTAGAATGATCGCAGCGTGTCTTTGTAATGTTTTTTTCTCTCCCAACTTTGCAATATGAAACATTATCTGCTGTATTCCTTCATTTATATTTTGCTGGTCACAGAATAAAATTGTTATTTATGCAAATCCGAAAGAAGTTCTTATTGGTTTAATATGTTTAAGGGTTAAGTCAATAAAATATCGATGATATGTGACATCCACTTACCACAGCAATTAGGCAAACTGGAATAATAAACAGATAAAGAGAACCACTTTCCATTGAGAGCCAGCAGCTGTAATGATTTATAAGTCAGAACATCATATATATTTTCATAGTTACAGTTTTTAAAAAGTTTGTTTGAATTTAACAGATCATTTTGATCTTGGTATGGAAAAGAAACAGACGGGGTTTAGAATACAGTAATCATAGCACTCTCTTATAAAATTATGTATACTGTAGAACTGGGAGTAAAAGTTAATGTTCTTAGAAGTCAGCAAAAAGTAATAATTAGAGCCATGTAGACAGGTCTCCGATCTATAGCATTAGGCAATGCCATGTTAGTTTGGCGTACTGTTATCAGCTTTTAAGACTAGCTATTCCAACAAGTTAACAGGTATGAGGCCATATATTTATATTTTTTGTCTTTTCATCTATGTTTTTTTTACTGTTTTCCAAAATTTAGCTTTACTTCTCCTTGAGATGTTGGATGACGTTATTTGATATACTCGTATTGAGAAATAACAGATTAAGCTTAGGTTGAAGAAATTTTGATCATTTTTCTTTAATTCTAGTCATTTATTTATTGCAATGCATTGAACAGTTTATTAAAGGGAATTTATATCCAAATGCCAAACATGTGCATTTTGCAAAGGTCAGAATTAAAAGAAATTAAAAAAAACTTATAACATTCCTTGCTACCTTACAACATATATATGTATATAAACTGTTTTAAGCACTCATCAGCTAATTGTCATAAATTGAGTCAGTTTTAGTATTAACCTATTTTTCACCTCGCCTTTTTTTCCCTTTATTTTTTAACCTTCATATGCATAGAACTGAAAAAAGAATTCTACAATGTTGCTTATTATTCACGTAGTATACATTAACTTACTAGTTTTTAAGATGGTAACCCGTTCCCCGAAAAGCTCCCAAAGTTACTCCAGCAATTACTAACGGAATACCTGAAATAAGAAAAGGATGTATCACGGAATAAAACTATGCAATGGTGACAGAAGGTTTACTGAAAGGTGAATGAATGGCACGGCAGAGGTCTTTCATCAATGTAATTACATTTCCATACATTCTGGAGAAAATTCAATTGACTCAGAAAGGTACATTTTCATCCTCACGATGTATCACAAAGATATTCAGTGTTCTCTAAAGATCCAAAAATAGAAAAAGGTATACAATGTCTATTTTATAAACATTTCTTTTCCATACTGGTGGTATAAACAGTTTGAAAATTTCAAAGCAACTTACCCCATCCTCCTAAAAGAAACCAACGCACTCTAGATATAGACTTGAAATTGTTTGCCACACGCAATGCATAATAGGTCACTGTGATACTCATGAAATAGTAGATACCAATCCCCATCATACAGAAAAAGGTCACCAGGAAAAGATAATGGATGACAGCGGTTATTGCGATGCACAAGCTCTAATAATACATAAAAACATATTTTCATTTCACGGCGAATATTATTTCTAAACAAGAAATTAACATTGCTTCAATTTTTATCAATTTATGATACTAAGTATTGTTATTCACAAAATTTTTGCGAAAAAACTTTAGACGAAATATACTTATTATCTTTAATAATATAAATGTACGCAGTGATTAAATTTTCGATAGAACACAGTCTCGTGCAAATACATGAAAATAGAGTTCTTGCAAATAAAAAGTGAAAAACAGCATGTATTTATTGTTTTCCCAAGATAACTTTTTCCCCTTTCGCGATTAAAAATTGTCAATATTCTTCAAACCCAGAAAAATATTTAGTTATTGTCTTCTTAAGAGACTGAAGCTATATAAAAGAATATGAAAGATTATAGCATTTTCCTTTTAATCAAAGTTTCAGTAAAAATCCTAAACGCCTCTTCATTCAAATTGGACAACAACGAAATATTTCAATCACGAGTTTACAAACAAACTTGTTTTGTCGCCCGCGTGGCGCAATGGTTAGCTAGATCGTTTGCTTTAGAGTCGCGGTTTAAGGAGTTGATCCTTACGTTGCGGGTTCGAATCCACTATAGGACGTGGATGCTGGTCCTTCGGATGAGACCGTATAAACCGAGGTCCCGTGTTGCAGTAGGTATTGGAAGGAAAAAGATCCCTCACTGCTCAATGGCCCTGAGTGCCGAGCATAGGTCAAAATTTGCAGCCCTCCACCGGCAAATGTTGGCGTCTCTATATGTGTGAAAAATTCTCGAGAGGGACGTTAAACAACAAACAAACAAACAAATAAAACAAATTTGTTTTAGTGCTAGAGGCAGCAAAAATAATCTTAATCTTAACCTTAACTATTTGAAAAGTTTACACCAATGAGACAAACATTATACTGTAGTAGTAAATCATCATGATCCAAGTCTGGATTGAAAGAATTCCTCTGTTCTTAAATTAAGACTAATATTCAATTATGTAACATTTAAAGATGATTTAAACTTTTACTCCATCAACAAAGTTTCATAAACACTATCACTATTTATAAATCATAACATAAAATACCAATTACATCAATATAACGATTCTACACTACAAGTAGTCTACATATAACCACTTAAACGCTCTTCCCGAATCGGACAAAAATGTGTAAGTTTCACTATGATTAATTCTTATTAAAAAATTACAGATAAAATGATAATTGGTCAAAAAATATTTTACGAATGCAAAACATTAGTCTTCCACCAGAATTAATAAAAGTAAAGTTAACGTATACCTCATTGCTTGTTTCTTCAACAGCAGAAATAAAGACAATGTAGGATACAACCAACGATCCACAGAGATTTAGCATCATAATATTTTGGTCATTCTTTATATGTCTGAAATTAAACTGTTCATTAAGTAATTTATTTTAAGATAATTTAAAGTTCTTCTCAAATTTACATGAAATAACATTGTAATCATACTTCCATGCCACGATGTAGATGATGAACGTTAACATCGTGAAAACAATAGACACAATAACACCAATGAAGGATATAGACTTCAAAGAAGCACTGTCTTCACTTTCCTGAAATACAAGTATCAAACTTTAATACCCCAAACATTATAGAAAGAATTGTAGTAGGTTTTGCGATGGGAAATCCAAAATAGTCAAACTAGAACATAAAATAGGACGTGCACAATGGTACTATGTATTAAAAATTCTGTGAAAGTCTCATTTTATTCAGTGGTATAGGAGGAGTTACGGATAAGAGATGAGGTAACCCCTCCACCAGTATTATAGAAAGAATGAAAGTGTCTAGGTTTTGGTATGGGAAACCCAAAAAATTGTAAAAAGGAAGATGTACAAAGCACAAGGACTGTTCACGGTAGCTCAGTCGGTAGAGCGCTCGCTCCGTGATCGGGAGGTCGTGAGTTCGAATCTCGGCCACGACTGGCCTAAGTCGATAAAAAATGGGTAGCAACAGTTCTCTCGCAATGCACTCGGCACTTTGAAGTGAAAATAGCGGTTGCGGGTCCTTCGGATGAGACCTTAAAAACCGAGGCCCCGTGTCACGGCAGGCGTTGGCACGATAAAGATCCCTCACTGCTCAATGGCCCTGAGTGCCGAGTAAAGGTCTACATTTGAAGCCCTTCACCGGTATATGGTGACGTCTCTATTTGAGTGAAAAATTCTCGAATGGGACGTAAAACAACATACAATCAATCAATCAAAGCACAAGGTAATAAAGATTCTGTGAAAGTCTTATTAATAGGAGATGCACAAAGCACAATGTATGAAGATTCTGTGAAAGTCTTATCAAATATTATTCGATCCTATAGCAGGAGTTGCAGACAAAGATACGTGCAGACGTACTGACGGAAAGACATGCGGACGGACACTCCATTGGTCATAAAAGGAAGAATGGCAGTGTCTAGGTTTTGCTATGAGAAAACCAGAACATAAAATAGGAGGTTCGCAATGCCACTATTTGATAAAAATTCCATAAAAGTCTCATCAAATTTTGTTCATTGGTATGGAACAACCCATTACCCGCTTTTCAAGTGGGGTATAACATAATTGAGAAAAACTAAAAGGAGCCATGAATTTTAAAATAAATCTTACTGACGAATAGGGTCTCATCAGAATGGCAAAGTTAGTTAGATGGTTACACTGGCAAACTGTCCTTTTATTGCTGGTGGAATTTATTTTGCAGCCTTCTTCTGACCATTTGCTGAATCAAATTTAATTTTCAAGTAGTGATATAGATGCTATCTTCTTAAAACAAATTGTACACGTGCATCTTCTTACGCTCAATTTTTTTTAAAAAATGAATATTTGAAGATGTTACATATTTATCATAATGTAATTTTGCTGCTCTTAAGACGGACATTGTAAATAGCAGAATCTTCCTTAAAGTCCTTAATCCAAGGTACTCAGGACAGTTCTTCAAATGAATTCAACGGAGAAGCACATTGAAAAATTGTCAGGACTTCTCACACGTAATCCGTGACCTTAGGACGTTAAAATGACACCGATTCAGCTTTTCCAGGAACCATGATTGGGATTAATTGATAACTTTTTTTACTGTTTTATCCAAGCTTATTGTTCTACAGGAATTCCTGTATAGCAACTATAGTTTCTTCTCTGTACATTTGATAATAATTTAAAAGAATGTTCAACTAACAATCCAAGGCGTGACTGTTTTTACATAGATATTGCTGTAGGTTATCAAGTAACTTTTTGTGGTGGCCTGAGCATTAAAAATATTTTACATGTAGAAATGATAGCAAAGAATTTTCAGCAACCAATATTCTTGTTAAAAACGAAGCTTCTTACTTTGATGTAAAGTCCCACGAAACACAAAGAGCTTGAAGATGGATACTTTTATTCTGGTGAAAATAATGAGAAAATATTGTTTTTATTCAATTATCATTGCAGTCATAAAAATGCGGTAAAATGAATGTAATAAATTCATTAATGATTTACAAAGCAATTAATAAGCGTAAAGTATTATCTGACCTTGTATTAATTTGTGCTACCTTGTGTTCGTGCTACCTTGTGTTTATGCTGAAAAGTCAGATTTAGAGGAGGAAACAAAATCCCGAGATCCGTCTGCGTGGTCAGTGAGAGAATCTCTGAGTTAACGATTTCTCCATCGCTCGCTGTATCTTTTCCTCTTTAAAATACATTGAAATTAAAACAATTAATCAGAAAAGAATGTTTGATAGATGAATTGTGTGCCACATCTAGGTACGATATTTTATGTCAAGACGTAAGACACGGTATAGCAGATTATTTAGAATAATTTTCTATAGTGTTATGAACAAATCTCTTTCTGAAAAATGATTTAGTTTTTAGCTTAAGAAAAAGTTCAATAGGTCTATAACTTTTGCATTATGTCCAAATATTTTTATTATCATTTAAAATTTAGAAAAAGAAAACAGGTGAAAAATATTATTAAAGCTTTCCATTCTTTAACTTTCTTACCCTGAATCTGTGGGTAAAATGTCTGTAATTGTCTTGTATATGACGGCCACATAGGTAATAGCTGAAAATGAAGCTGAGTCCCCTAGTCAATCAGTTCGGTTATTCTGACATTATTGCAAAAATGTATGTCCAAAATTAAGAATACTCGATAACTAATTTATTGACATATTAATATATTTATATATTAATATGTCAATATATATTGATATATTATTTTCTACATAATAATACTAATTTGATGATGGACAAGCGGTGGTTCTGAGAGTATCTATTTCTTCATTCCTTTCCTCGATAACTTTTATAGGATATAAGATGTGTTTAAGCGAGAAAAGCTAACAATTGTTGTATAATTTCCATGGGAAAATATTGAGATGAAATGTTAGGACTTTAGTAATTACCTTTCTTTGATTTGTTCGTTTGCTTGGGCAATTCAAGAAATGTTGCATATTCATCAACAACTTCAGCACTTTTATTGGAGGATATGTCCGGAAAAATTATTCCCGATTCTTCTACGTTCGTTTGGTCAACAGTTACCTCTTCAAGAAATGTAATAACAAATTATCACAAAAACGTTTTCTATTCATTTAAATTATTCTTATTTTCATGTGGTTGGCACCTTAATGTAAATAAGTAAAACTTACCTAAGTTTAAACCAGTAAACTTAGTTGCTGTTACATTGTTGTTTTTCATGATAACTTCACTCAATCTGTCAATATTCTTTAACAGTGCGCTAGCATCTTTCTCCGTCTAAATGAAATTTGTAAATAAACAATAAATATAAATTATGTCTAAACGTCGGAATAATGTGGAGCTGCATTAGCACTATGATATATAAATGATATATAAATCTACAATATAAACCAACAATCCATGAGACACTGTGTCACATTTTTTTTATCCAAACATTAATGCTGAAATTTTCTTCAACATTAAAGATGTGTCTAAGTTAGAGACTTGTCATCTAGAAACTTCCGTGAAACTTACAATAAGTGTCTTTGAAAAATCTTGTATATAACATGTGTAATTTCATATTTTCATTATAATTGTTATTAATGCGTCCGACAATTATTTTAATCATTATTATGTATAAGAGGGAGGCGATTTTTAAGTTGAAAGGACTTCTTTTATCTTTTATACAGTAGAATATGTTCAAAACAACCTTTTAGCGATTGTTTAGTCATCATTAAGATCTCCATCTGACTAATAAGAAAAATAGTTCTCACATGGATAAATGACTATTATTCCTATATAAAATTGTCAGGTCAAAAGACCATTGCTGCAGAAATTGGTGTGCATTTTAATTATCAATTAGCTCTCTTTTGCAAAATCATAGGAATAAAACAGAATTATAAATGATTCAACAAAGGAATTATGAACCTTTACTAACAAACTTTAAAATAAGTCGCACGGGGAATTTAGTTTGTTACTTGCTGATAAGGGACACTTGCTTTAAATTTGTTAAGAAAAAACGTAGCTACAAGTAATTTTTTTTCCTGATAATTAAAAAAAATATAACAAAATTACCTTTTTTTGAATTGTCGTCCAGGAGTCCGAATTGTTGGTAGATAGAACATTGTCGACGATCTCAAAAAATACCTTGAAAGAGTTATAAATAAAAAGCATTTACATCTTTTACTCAAAATTCGTTTTAATATACAACATGCATTTGAAATATATATCAGATATTTTCTCTCTCTCAATGTGTGTGTCTCTCTCTCTCTCTTTCATTCTCTCTCTCCTATCAAACATTTAGAAAGGACCTCAAAATCTACATATTTTTCTAACTAACCTCTTTCTTAATATTTGCACTCGTCAGATTTGTGACGTCAACAATCTTCTCTAGGATGTCAAGAGAGGAGCTGATATCCCCGGCACTCAGCGCATTACTCTTTGATGTCAGGTTCTTCATTTTCACTAAAGTGTTGTTCACTGTTTCTCCTACTTTTCCCAAACTATCAAGGCCGTCTTCTAGTAACGAATCCAACTAATAAAATGAAAACAAACCATTTTTAATTACAATTTCCATTTATGAAATAATGTTTGATGACATTTAATTTTTCTTTGATATTTAGGTTTATTACATTTATGTATAAGTCTATAGATTTTAACATTTAAAATTCCAAAATGGTCCCAAATTTATTTAGAAAATATTTTTGACAAGGATTTCCGAAAAGATAAGAAATTTATGTTTCATTCCTAAATTACCTCATGTCTTCACGTGACATATATACATTATTATTAATTGATAAGAAGACTTGCCTCTTTAGACGCATTTACAAAACCTTCACTTGTACAATTGATAAAGTTAGGAGTTTTCCATATTCCCTGTGTGTCACAATATCTAGTTGCAGTTCCTAAGAAATTAAAAAAAATTAAGAAGGTAACTTTCTGTATATGTCATCTTTCATTAGAAAACAGTCTCAAAAACAAAACAAAAAAATAACTAAAAGAAACGCAGATTTGCAAAGAATCTTTTTCATTTGCATATAATTATATTCTTGTTTGATTTTCTTATTTCTTGATCTTTGTTTTATATATTTAATAACAAATGCAAAATAACAGTCACTATTAATTTTTAAAAGGAAAAATACCTTTTTGATTTTTTGGACATGACTTCTTATGAGTCATCCCTGCAACTGTTGTATTCCATGTTATTCCTTCAAAATTTTCTGTTGGACATCTCAGCTGTTCTAAGAAAAACATAACATAACGTCGAGTGATATTGATTTTGGAGTCTTCCTTTATAATGAATATCGATAACTTTTCAAACAAAACCATAATCAAATGAATGGTGTATATATGTATATACATCGATAATTTACCTACCTGGTTTGATAACATTTATATAAACAGACACACTAACTGGATCAGGGTAAGCAGAGTGGAAACACGAGAAATTTCCAGAATCAGTCAGTGATGCGGATGGTCTATACAATGTTGTATACGTGTTACTTCTGCTTATATTGAATACAGAATCTACAAGTATTAGCACTGCCTTAAAAAGTACAGTTTCCCAACCAATCGATATATTTATTCTAATAAATCTTCCCATTCTATGAATAAGAATGTTTTTAACATATATAAATCGAAAAACTGTCTTCATTGTAGTGACGATTTGTACAAAATTAAGGTTTATGTTTATCTAATGCAACTTAATAATTATTTTTGAATTTTTTTTTAATCAAAAAGGTTAAAGTTTTTATTTTTAAATATAAATACAGTGTAGAGTTTTTTAAAAAAGTTAAGATATATGTAGTTTCAAGTATCAACCTGTCAGAGATAAAATTTTTCTTCCATCTTTTTGCCAGATTAAACTTCCATTTTTTAAATCATTCAAAGATTCAGGATTTATGACACGACAATGTAGATTTATATCCTCTCCGCTGGTTACGTAGAAGTCGTATTGTGGAGACATCTTCAGCAAAAGTTTTGGAAGAACTAAAACAAGGAATATACATATTACATAGAAAAACAAAATTGAACGTTTTAATAGATAATTTATAACCTTAAGATTTAAGCATACACATTTTATATATGAATAAAATTGAACCTTTCTTTATTTCATGAAAAATAACAAAAGAAAAACACAGCGTACAAAAATCTGGACAGCTTTATTATATATATATATATATATATATATATATATATATATATATATATATATATATATATATATATATATATATATATATAAACAGTATACTCCAAAAAATTCCAAAACTTGTAAATGTTAACTAAAATTCTATATGAATAGGTCAAAAATGTTTTTGGATCAGCCTAAGAATCAAAATCGTACATTAATTAAGTTGGATGAAATATTGGCCAGTGAACTCGGAAAGCTCAATATAGAGAATAGAGTTATTATCTTTTATTTTCTACACTCTAACCTTGAAGACTGACACTCCTGGTTGCAGTTGTCACTTCGTTAGATACAGTAACCTCCCAAACTCCTACATATTCAAGACATTTTTTTAACGTAAATATATAAATTATTCTTATTTTCATGTAAATATATTTTCTTTCCAATCAATATTTTAAGTTACCTCTATCCTGTTTTAAAACACGTGGGATATAAATCATATAACGATAAGTTCCATTTGCTGTTCGTGAAGATGACATTATATATCTCATAGAGGCATTAGATATCTTAAGTCCATTTCGGAACCACTGAACACTGTGACTGTGATTAAAGTTGTCCATTAATTCCATTTTAAACCACACTGGCTTTTCCTCACGCAGTACTGGATGGCTAATTTCAAATGAAAGCAGCTTCAACGTTTCTGTAGGAGAAACGGTATTTGGTAAATTATATCTTATGTTTTCTACCTTCCTTAATGAAATTATATACATAGTTTTTTATAGAAAAAAATTAAATCATTATAAAACCAACATAACCCTTTAACTGTTAATTCATCAAACTCGCAAAATAATGAAAACTGAGAAAATCCAGTAGACTCATCCCTTACTAAACCGTGCTTTTTACTCGTACCTCCCGTCCCAATAAAGGAATTCAGAAAAGCACCGAATATTAAGGTGTTTATAACTCTAAATATGTACTTTTAAATGAAAATATTATACATAAACTAACCATCCTCACAGTTTCTGCCCTCATAACCACGTAAACAAATACATGTTGAATTCATGCAAGTTCCTCCATTTTGACAGGAACATGACTGCACATTGTCTGAAAAATAATGAAGTATATATATATATATATATATATATATATATATATATATATATATATATATATATATATATATATATACGTGAATATGTATAAATGATATTAAGGAAGAGATCTAAAGAATTAACCAAATCTGTGACTAACCTTCAATGTAAAAAGCCAGAACAAATCCACTTCCAGCAAAGCCGATGTCACTGATGAAACTTACTTTTGTTGAGGTCTTATTCAGTGGTATTTTAGGAGAAGACTGTAAGATCTGATTTTCAACGTCATCACAAAATTCTAAACAAAGGCATTTTGAAACTCAAGAAGCTCACTTTAATATATATCACAGGTAAATACATAATATAATCTAAAATGGTAAATCGTTCCATTGTCTTTTATATGATGTTTGGTTATACAAACACTTTTAGATTTAAAAGCAATTCAAAAGTGAAGAAATGGAATTGGTGTAAAGTGAATGTAGTATTATTGCTGTATCGTGCACATAAACATTTTGTAGCGAAGGAACATCTTTGTACTACTTTGTGGTTTTCTCCAGTACATATATAATATTAAATGAATACTATCTCTTGCGCTTGTCAAACTTGATAGGACATCTTCTTACATAAATAATTCTTTATCTTAAAAAAATACTTTGAAATAAAGGTATAGGTCAAAAGTATATTTAATTCTTAAAAGTATCTACGTCCAAATTACACTATATATATACAAAAATACTTCATGTGATACCTTACAGAAGCGTATCTGATTTATATATTGATTTAATAGTTAACCAGCGTTTGATATATTCAAAATTATATGAAAAAAGTCTCAGGCAAAAGGCGATTTTTGAAGTTGGTGTTATAGTTGTAAATTAGTATCTAGCGATTTTAGAACACAAAAAGTGATTTTTATACATTATTATTAAAAATAAAAATCATATCATAAATCAGCAGGTATGAGAACAATAACCATCACTGCAACAACAAATGACGATAAAAACATTCACACTTACTATCTAAGCCATCTATCTGGACGTAATCTGCACATGTATCATAACCTCTCTCCAAATACACAGAGCGGAACTGAAACACCAGATGTGTGTTTCTATCTCTGATTTCGGGCTCCACCATCCAAACACAGTTCAAATTACTGAAAACCAGAAATGTTTCAAATGTTGAAAATAGTGCAATAAATTACTGCTCTTTAAAAACTCTCAAATTATACGACTTCAAATGTACCTTGGATACTCAGCTGGGAACCCAGGAGACACAATAAAATTAGGCTGTTTATCTGCCAGCAACTTTATACCATTAGGGTCACAGTTTTCATCTACATGAAAATAATTGAATTTTAAAATCGCTAGATAGTTTGGCAACTCTGTCATAAAGCGTATGAAAATCTTTCTACTACGAGAATCTATGAATGAAAACTCTTTCCACGGCCAAATTGCTAAAAATGCTTGAGTTTTCAATAACCAATATATTAATTAATATAAATTCAAAAACTGCATTTCAGAACACCAAGATGTGTAAAACTTTGACGAGCTATTGCATCCCATGAGAATAAAATATTATTAATATTATAATGTTACTAAATTATCTAAATGAATATGAGCAATTGAGGCCTAGCTTTCTGCAAAAAAAAACAAAAAAACAAAAAAACAAAAAAAAAAAAAAAACTTTCAAATATTTAAATCATGTATAAAATAGTCACCCACTTAGTTTGGTCTTGATTCAACTCAGAAATTTGACTTACAAAAACTCCAATCTACATAATTATATAAAATAACGTTGAACAAAGTAGATTTTACAATATTGACGGATTTGATAAGTCGTAGGAAAACTAATCAAAAGATTTTTTTTATTCCAGTACCAAACCTTGGACACAATTGATAGTGGTCTTAGTTTTGAATTTAAATTTAAAATTTAAGACAATGATCAATAATACACATTTTTTAACTCCTATCCTGTCCTTTGAATCTGCTATAAAGACATGTTCTGACATCTGTTTATTTTCTTGACTGCCCTCTTAATTCTTATAATTTTATCTAGCTCAGACTTTCATCTTTATTCATTATATATCTTCAGTTTTAATGAAGCTTCATCTAAAAAAAAAAGTTGGTGAGACATGTCTGGTAACTTGTTAAAATTTGATAAATTAATTCTGGAGAAAAGATCAGCAGACTACAAACAGAGGGATGAACCAACGATGAACAAACTTTTATCACTTATTTTCACCGCTGTTTTTCCCAGAAGTGATTCAAACCTGAAATACTCTTGTATTAAGTTATGGCATGTATTTTTTCTATTATCAATAGTAAGAGCTTGTTAATGCATAAAGTGTTTTAACGTTTAATATAATTTTTTCTTATGAATTACTTTTTTTCAATTCTTAGTCTTATACAAGTTTGATGAGTTTTTTTCAATTACATATCATGTATTTTAGAAAGTAATATCTTTTTTCCTTCAGAATTTTACAAATATTTCTATTAGAATATGAATTTTTTTTTATACCTTTGTTGCTTTCCACAGCCATGAAACGAAAACTGAAACCTCTATTAAACGAAGACAATGTTGACAAAGTCAGAAGAACTGCAGATGTTCTTGTTTGCATTATTCCATAGCTCTCTCCGTGGGGACAACCAACCATTTCATTTTTCTTCGCTGAGGTAGTTAGACCTTCATAAATAATGGTTATTCAATAGTACATGTATATTTCAATATCTGATTTTTTATATTATCGCAGCACAACATAAAAGATGCAAAATGGAGTATTTCTTCACAAAAAGTTTTAATGGCTTTTCATTTCTATATAATCCAAAATAACGCACAAGTTATGAGGAGTTAATTTACAAAATCTAGGAACCGAACTTATCTACTTTGCGTCTATCACCAATAAGATATTTGAAATTTTGAAGTTCAAAATCAACATTAATCATCAATTACATTTACAGTCAATATTGGGCACACTAATTAAATCTGCCGAAGTGTCGCAATATTTGTTTTGTTAAAATCCATCAATTATTCAATGTCACAATCTCTTAGCTTTGCAGCTCGGTTTTTACCTCACAGCGTACGCCACTACATTACAAAAAGACAGCTAAAGACAAAGAATTACCTAGATCAGAAAATAACGTTTTTTTTTTTTTTATTTGATATTCATTTTTCAGCGAGAAAAAATAAACAGGACAATGAATGGGAGCTACAGATAGCACAGTTCAAATAATTTTCATTTATTCGCTTGGTAATGCATAAAATTTACGAAATAGTCGTATATCAGCTGAAATTAGTTCAGTATTTAAAAGTTCAAATATAAATTAAGTGGTTCTAAACTACCTCACAAGGTGAGAGGAGGTGGGTAGATGGGTGGGGCATGATTTGAACAAACTAAAATCTACACTAAGGATGCTTCCATATATCTTTGACTTATCATGACTCTAGAAGATTTTAAAAGATTTTATTATGTAAAAAATTGATATATTATTGTGACCCCGCCCTCCCACTGGGAACAAGATTTGAAAAAACTTGAATTAACACTACCATAGGATCTTCTGTATAAATTGACGTTTCATGGCTATGCTGTCTTAGAGAAGAAAATTTTAAAAATATTTCCTATATATTTTATGTAAAACTGATGCCCTGTTGTGGCTCCAACCTAAGCCCAGGGGTCATGATCTGAACAATCTTTGATCTTCACTACCTGAGGATGCTTCTGTATTTATATGACTAAGCGTGACTTTGCTGTGATTAAAAAAAAGGTTTTTAAAGTGAAATATGAAGATAACCAGCAGTAATCAAGCTCAAAAGCCCATTGAAACAGTACAAATTGGAAGCAGAGCCTCTTAAAATGTACATCAGTTGTGATTTGGTGCCATGAAGAAGTAAGCATCACCCTCCGTGTGATCCTTGTCATGGTCGGGCAAACGGAAAAATCCGTAGACAATTCAATTAGAAAAATAAAATGGCCTAACAATTTGTATGAAATCTACATTACCTGAGATGCTTTTGTACTGTGTATTTTTAAAAGATTTTCCCTATATATTCCTATCTATGATTTTGATCCCCTTGAATCTTCAATATATACTGAAACTTTTACATAAGTTTCATCTTTTCTGCCCAGTGTTTCTAGGGAAGAAGATTTGTAAAAGATGCAATTGACATTTCTCTGATTCCTAATTATCTTCCATTGAAAAAGGGTTTGGCTATTCATGTGAACAAATTGAAATCCGCTTCATCCAAGGATGCTTTGTGGCAAGTTCGGTAGAAATTAGCCCAGTGGTTCTGGAGAAGAAGTCGCACATGTTTACAGACAATATACCACAGACAGACAGACGGACGGACGCCGGATATTTTTCGATTAAAAAGTTCATTTAAACTTTCGGCTCAGGTGAGCCAAAAATGACACACCAAGATACTTAATACTTTGTTAAATCCCAATTCATACTCTGTCCTTGCATTACAAGCATTACATCTGCTGGACTTAGAGTCCCTTGCTGTTTTAGCTTTAAGTCTATAAAAAGGATTTTGGTAATATATATATTATATTTCTTCACTTAGGGCAGTTATGTTAGTTTACGAGTTGTTGTAAAATGTGCTTTATGAATAAATTCAATTCATTACAATATATATCGGTAAGGATCCTCTAATAAAACTAATGTCCAAATAACTGTATCTAACTTCCAATCTCAGTGACCGTTTGGTGCAGGACAGCACCGCTAGAATTTCATCGACATCGAAAGCAAGCTTTTTGACTTGCCTAGATGGCCGAATGGTCTAGCGCGCTGTTCCTGTACTGCTAGGAGACAGATTCCGTAGGTCGAGAGTCCAACCCCGGGTGGGGGCGAAAGTGAGTAATACATCCTTATAAAAAGTGAATTTCGTTGTGCTCTCTCTCTCTCTCTCTCTCGTACGAAATAGTTGGTGATATGGAGACTATTCATGAAAGTTGTCTGTTCATTATCTATTACTCCGCGTATAATTAAAGTTTGGCTATCCGTTGGGCATCCGTACATTTTGTTGGATTTATTCTCTCATTTAAAGATAGATAAGAAGTATATGTGAATATAATAATTGAAATTTTTCATAGAGGTATCCAAGGAAAAATTGCAGGGTGAATTTTTCATCAGTTTTCTCAAATGTTTCCTTCGAAAACTCAAACAAACGGACAAGATAAGATTCCTATCTTTTAACCTAAAATTAATGCATACTAATTATTTGCATTTTCACTGTGTGTAAGATTGTAAGTTCACAGATGTCTTGTAAGTGATGTTGAGGCCAATTTAACAGAAAGATACAAAAGTAATGGGAAAATATTTTAAACTTTAGAATGTATATCTTCTTTATTTACATACCATGATATAGATTAAATGATGTATCCGAGTTGCAGTTCCATCGGGGATAAACTATAATTTCAAACCCTCGTATTGTGGTAATATTCCAGGAACAAGTTACATTTCTGAATGAAATAAAAATACCTGTTTAATTTTCTACATTTTACTTTTTTTTCTTTAAGAAGATTGGTAATAAAAAAATTGAAAAAAAAAAAATCAGCTGTAAGTATTCTTACTCCTGAGCCACATGTACATTAATTTTGTAAATCTGTTAGTGTTCTCACGCTTTATATCCCTTCTTCTGCGGGTAGTTCTCCGGATATGCCACATTTTCCCCCGTGTAAGGTTGCAGAGAAATTTGTTGAAATCTTTGACATGCAAGCGTAGTCGAAACTACGAAAATAAATAGGCAACATTGTTGATTATCACTTTCATTTAAAACACACTCCTTCTACACGTTGAATAAAAAGGTGTCACAATGTCCGAAATAATGACATCTTTTAAAGCCATAACTTGAATTTGACATCACAAACACTCTCAGCTTCATATACACTAGACAAAATTGCTAACGCACCACCTAAATAAATTAACATTTTTCTTTTCAAAACTTGTTTATGATGTTTTTGATAGATAATTATGTTACTTTAATAAAAAATGAGACATTTAAATGTTTTAACTGATAAATAACAACGTTTACTGAAGCGTAACCACTTCATAGAAAAAATTAAAATCATGTCCATACTTTTTTGGTGGAATAAATTTCAATATTTTTCTTTGTGGTTGTGTTCTTTATGTTTGTACTAATTAAAAACTCAGGAAAAAAGTTACACCTTATGCGGCGTTTGACTCTAAGAAAAGCATGCTAAGGCAGCTAGTATGGTGTCTGCAGGGGGTTCCTTTGAAGAAATGTGTGAAAAATTAAAACAATTAAAAGATTATACATTTCTTTGGTGACAAATTGTTGAAAATGAATAAACAATCATAAAAATGTTTACAATAGATAGCGACGGCATTAAGCAAGCACCACACAATAACTTCAAGATTGTTCCACAAAATTGGGGCAACCGGAAGTTGGGTGGATTTGTTAGGGACACCAAGGCACTGGATGACTACTAAGCGATATGGTAGTCAATCAGGGTATATAATTTGATTTTTAAGTGGGAGACTGCTCCCGTCGCAACCTCACGGACCACCATCGGTAATCACCAACTTCATATTTTGGCAAAAACTGTGCACAGTGCACGTCGGGAAATTGGTTTTCGGACAAAAAGGTCCTTTAAGGGTCTTGACATGACACCAAAACATTTGTCAATCCAACTGTTTTGGAAAAGATGGCATATCTTATATATTAGTAACAATCAGGAAAATGATCAATTCACAAATAAGAATAATAAGTGGTGCGTTAGCAATTTTGTCTAGTGTATATATTTTTTAAATTTATAATTATGAGGCATTTATTTATGTTTTGCATATTTTAGCAGTAAGAAGTGCAAAGATGAAATATACAGCCATTACAAACATAAACGTTTGGTCATTTGCAAAACTTGAAAAACATTTTGCCAATAGCAATAAACCCTTAATAATCTCACAGTATAAAACACAGTACAAATTATATGATTACATGCAGATAAATCCAATTGCTTTGGATTCTTGAAGCATTTGTAATTTCTGTTCAAAATAAACGAAATAACTATCCATTCGTTAACTGAAGGGGAATGAATGTTTATAATTACTTAAGATGACCGAATGGCAGAGCTTTGTCATTCAGCCACCATTCTAGACCTTACAGTGAAAATTGAATTGACTGAATAGTGGAGTTTCATGATGTAAAAGAGAACATACCCTAGTTATACCTAACCGAAAAAGTTGGTTAAAGACCTTTTACGCTCTTTTCTTGGTAACATTAGGGGGAAAAACAACGCATGAGAAGCACGTTTGATCATTATCAGATGAAACCACACACAAAGAAAAAAGTAAGCAGATTGTTTAAGCCCTGAATTGCCACGTTTTGAATGATTTTTTCATTAATTTTGAATCATATTTTCTGCAGAAAAGATTACTTGTTCGAAAAAAAATCTGCTAAATTTACATATTATATGCATCAGACACAACTTGTACGTGAAACTAAAGATTAATTCTCTTTTGATAATATTTTCCGAGCAAAAAAAGTTGTAGAGTAGGCCAAAATTCATCAAATCTGAAGGAATTTGGAAATTTGTTCTATTCTTTCATATGCTATCTGACAATGCATGTACATAGTGTATTATATAATTAATGATGGATATGAGCTTATTAATGTTGTGATAAAAACAACTCACATTCGTGATGAAATAATTAATAATTCAAAAATTATCCTTCACTAAACTTCGGTATCTTGATTTATAAGTCATGTTTGCTGACAACGTTGATAAACAGCTAGCTGATGCTTATGTTGATGATTAAGCTGTTGCTTTTTTTATGCCGACGCCTGTACATGTTTACTACATAAAATCATACACGATATATAACTTTACAAGTGCTATTTGAAATGAGTTCAGCCTCAATCAGTATATATTAACCTCTTTTACTGGATTCAAACGTGAGTATTCTATGGAGTTAAAGGTTGGAAATTTTAGACATACATGACTTTAACCTTTGAGATATGACTTCGAGTCGATATTAGGAATTACCTTTTGGAAGTTGACAGAAAAAAGTAATAAAAGTATGGATCCTTTTAATCTTCAGGTTTCAAATATACATGACTTGTATACATGTAACACTTACATGTAACAATAAGGCAATACTGTAACACACATTTTGAAAATAGGCATTCATTCCAATCAATAATTTCGAAGTTTTAGTTTAGGCACTGTCTTGTAACAAAAACAAGCAGAATACCATTGCAAATGTAATTATACTCAATTCTCATAATGGTCAAATGAAGATAGAGGTCGATGAAGACATAAACTTACCATTTAGGAGAGTGAACAGGAGAGTTTGTAGCATTACTATGTACTCCATGGTCAATTTCTTGATAACCTTAGAAGAAATTTCATCACCTGACTATAAAACTTGTTAGTTCATGTGAAAAAATAATTTACAACATATTGTTTGCAAACTTGGGCATATATACAGATTTTATTTCAAAACTACTTTTACTGTAAATAAAGAATTTCTGGGCTGAAATATAATCTGATATAATATTTTTTTCTTGTGACTATTAATGAATCCATCCAGTTTTCAGAGGGTATTCTCTGTAATAATTAATTACAATAATAAAAGTTCCTCAGTCATCGATACAGTCAAGTCAGTGCATATTATCATTACTGATTCTAGAATAAAGTTGTTATATACTTATTATTCTCCCAAAAATAAAAATCAAATTTTACAGTTTAAATCAAATTTCGATGAATCGTTTTTCTTTCCAGTGATTATATAAATTTTCTTAATCAGGAAAATAAATCTTAATGATGAATCAAGTGTGGTTGTAGTACAAACATAACTTGTGTTTAATTTTAATGGGTGTTATTCTTAGTCATAAATAGTCCTTAAAATGTTTGAAACTCTGTATGAGGAAGTTTGTGATTTAAGTATTGTGTCATCTATTATGAGATATGGAGATAACGAACAGTAATTATTCGAAAAAAGTCCATTGAAACAATACAATATCGGGAGCAGAGTGAACATGGACCTCTACAAACATCATAGATGGGATGAGGTGCCATGGAGAAGTAAGCATCCCCTTTCGACCGATCATACCCGCCGTGTGCTTATTGTCATGATCGAACAAACGAAAAAATCCGTAGACAATTCAGTGTGTAAATTATGGCCTAACAATTGGTATGAAATACATCAGTCAGCATTCGACTTAATGATATACATGTACGGTATTTTCTAACTAAGTCATTGTATCGACCATAGAACTTGCCAAATGATGACTTTCAACGATACTGTTAATATTCTTGTTCCATCACCTTGTTTGTCAATAGTTTGCCTCCTATTAGAAATTGTTTGTACGTGGAGCAAGCTCTTGCATACGAAATCAACTGGGGGATATAAGGTCTATATGCAGATGATAAGGGTATATTGTTACGTAAGTGAGCGAAGTTGACGATAGAAAATTTAATGTCATCCCGTTTATCATAAAGTTTTTATGTTTTTTTTATCATTAACGTATTTTTTATTTCAAGTTCAGTGGGATATATCGAGTCGACATATGAATGGAAGAAACTATTGTTTATTGATAATACGTCGTCGATATTTCTAAATGTCGAGTTGACGGCCACAGCAAGTGTTTTTTTTTTTTTTTTTTTTAATCATGTATTAGTTTCTTAATAAATTCTAAATTCAGCTTCATATGAATGCAAACATAGGGAGCAATTGGTACTCATGGGTATTCCGACAGATTGTTGGAAGACCTAATCTCCAGAACCTACATAGATATTGTCAATCAGAAACTTGTGCATCTTTTTAATATCGACTACAGTGTACTTCTGTGTACAATCGGAAAGTTTTAAAAAATAATTTTGGAAATTACCAATGCCAAAGTAAGTAAATTTTCGAGTTCCATTTTTATTGAAATGCATTGATAATTTACATAGAATAGACCGATTATATAGCCAATGAAAATGTTTGAATTTCCCGAGCATACCATGATTGTTAACTGAAAAAGTACTTTGAGCTATACAATTGATCTATTTTTATCTATAATTTGCCAATCCTTTCAAAAAATAATTAAGATGGTTGAAAAAGTTTTATTCTGCAACTTGCAACAATAGATGTATACGCAGCGAAGCATTGATTCATTTTATGATTTTAATGAAATTTGGCATTCATTTTATGAAAATTTGCATTTAAATTTGGATGTTCAAATTGTTGTTTTTTCCACATATATCATTGCTGCCTAATGTTAATGTGTGAAATATTGGACAAATCTATGCATATGATTATAATTTATATCATTAAGGTGTATACATTACTTGAGTGCATAAACCCTATGAGAATGTCTGGTAATAAATAAAGTACGAATAAATGTATTGACTTGCTTGTTACTGAAGGTATATATTTAACAAATTCAGCATTACTTACCAACGAGGAAGATAATTTCACGAGACTGTTCTGTAATACATCATCAAGCCTATATCTTCCTATCCACAAATCTCACTCTACGGTTCCATCTAATTGCGTTTAGATCCTAAATACTGTGAAAAATACTTTCAATATTAGAATATTTTTCAAATGTAGGTTGTTTCCATATGAAAAAGAATACTTAAAAATTTTTCTCTAATGATATGTTTTCTAGTAGTCTAAATAGTATTAGCATAATTGAAAAATATACAGTAAAATGATATCATATACCCTACAGCCTTTATTTTATATCACTATATGAGCTTATAACCAAAAGATCCATATAGCTATGAAAGAAAACGACCTTTTGTTAACAAACAGTTTTCAAACGCTTTTCAAGCATGAATAATTGTAAAAAAGGTCACTCATAAGAATAAATTGTACGTTTATTTTCTTTATTATAGTATTGTAAGCCAAAGGTTTACCAAGTTTTTAAGCATCAATTTAGGAATTTTCATCAGAAAAGATCAATAAAATTGGTTCAAAATATTGTCAAGTCCAACAAGGCTGTTTAATTGAGACTAAAACCAAAAGAAATGGAAAAGTCAAAAAGTCCAAAAAACATTAGTTTTAAAAAGTTAATAGCTCTGCTTTATAAAAGGTGAGATAGCTTTTCTTCCCATCAAAACAGAATATCTAATACTCAGAAGGTATTGATGGTCCCTAATTTACAAAATTACTTGTACTTTTTATTGGTTGCTTCACCATCTCCTAACCAACTACGCTTGTCTGTTGTTCTGTACGTTTACTAATGACCTCCAACATTGCATAACCCTCCAATCAAGGTACATATATATTCCCATGTTTGTAATATTTATGGGCTCATTCCCCAACCCATCACAACAGGAGTTCTAATCCTAAGCTCATTTATACCTAACTATATCAAAAGATTCCAGTTTTATTGCTCATTTTTAAATATCTCTCGTTAATAGTCCCCTTACATTTCCTTTCCAATTTTTATTACTTAGTATCGAAGGGGTTGATAGTTAATTAATAGTATCAGCATCATATTCTAATTGTAGTTCATGAAATTAAAATCCATTTTCCATTTATCTAGTCATTAGAGAGGTTTAGCAAAACAACGTGTACGCATACGTGTAGCAGGGAATTCCTCTCAGAAATATGTACATTACGTCATCAGTTTTGCTAATGACGAATTTCTACAGGTATCCACTTACGTGTAGATTACCGAGGGTGATATGCAATTAAATGTTTTGTGTTTTCTAATTTTTTTTTGTGTTAAGCACTTTGACATTTAAAACACTTACAAGTACACGTATAGTTTATACTTTGCTAAACAAGAAAAATAATGAAAACGTGTACATGTAATTCTAACTTGTAGTTTACACGTACATGTACACGTACAAGTAAGCTTGCTAAACCTCTCTATTGACTTTGTCATACACTGGTTTAATAAATTTGTATTTTGTGTCATTAATTTCAGTATTTATAATTCAAATGACAATGCCATAATTATATTGATTTTAAGGCTAGAGTCATCATCAGTAGTTAAGCACAATTATTTTACATGTAAGTTTGAAATATTCAAATTAAACATCTTTCTAAATACTAAAAAATTACAGTATCATTTATTTAGAATTGTTCTAATATTAACAATGATTTAATAAATTATCATTTGGATACGCGTACAATATTACAGAAAAAAAAAATCCTTGGAAACTTAAGAACCTGAAAATACAACCCCTTTATGTTTATCACAGAAATCTGCCATATTTATTTTACAAGGAAAAATAAAAAAGAAATAAAAAAAAAAGTGATAATGCACCTTATTACTGAATAAGATTTGACTAAATTACAACTTTCAGTTGTAATGAAAAGAAATTAGAGCAGTTTATAACTGATGAAAGTATCAAATGAATGTCTGTCTAGATCGATATACATTGTATACACTATTCCAGAGAATGATCTTGTAAAATTGTGACCTATAAATGGAATGTGTGAAACAGGTATATAGGCAACTAGACAAGATTAATTTGCTCTCATTTATACTGCCTTGTGTGTGAAACTATGAAAAAGGGTATGTTTATAAAAAGTATAAAAAGTCGGTTATCATTTAGCACTTTATTTGATACATTTCAAACGTCCTATAGAAAAATATGCGGGCATTTCAGTTCTTATAAGTTAAATTTCCTAGCTGTTTAAAATGTACATGTATGCGCCACTACCACGACAACTGGAAATGTAATGTATGTATGATTGTACGCATGCTAAAATCAGGTCATTTTTAAGCATACTACTAGTATGTATAATTACATTCATTTCCAGTGCCAGTAGCCATTGTGATGTAAGGTGCTTTTGTGCAATTATTTATTTTACGTTTGAAAAATCAGGGGTATTTAAGGAAAGAGTAATATGATATTGTGTACTGTGGACAGCAAAATAAATCTTAAATTCCTAAAAGCTGAAAATAAACTTTAAAACTTTACACTGTCCTTTAAAACTCGTGGCTTAAATTTAACTTGGAAAACAGCAAAAATCAAATAACCTATATAATATTCTGTTTATTTTTTATTTACACAATACTGTGCAGTATTTCAAAACTAGGTCAATGTGTACCTTACAGAAAATTGTAATAACTGTCCTATTAGCCATTAAAGCTACTGTAATGCTAACTTACCTTTGTGTAATCTCCATCCTGTCAAAAAAAAATTCTTCTCATCCCTGTAAAATATTCAAATAAACACAATCACGTCAACAACAACTCGTGTTCTCTACTTTCTTTTTTTACAAGGACATCTCCATTTACCTTCGTGCAATACGTTGTATTTGATGAGTCATAATACTAGGCAAAATAAAAAGAAAAGCAGTACGTGCACTGATCATGAAGTTAAAGTTACTATGAACACATATACACGTATCTGACAAGATAAATTTGGTACTTAAAATCGGGTGTATGTATTTTAATTCTTAAATGAACAGACTAAAGAATGTCAAATTATTAATAGGTTTTGATAAAAAAAAAAAAAAAATCAAATTTAAAACTTTCGATCTTATATTAATTTCGATCTTAATCTTGACTCTCCACGAAAATATTGTTCTAGTTGGGATGGAGGGAGTTACATGCTTGAAGGCCTTGAGAATAATTAAATTCATATAAACCTGTTATATTTTATTCTTTCCTGATTCAATCGTCAAATAAAAAGGATTATCTAATTCCAAGTTAAACATTATGCAATTTTATTATGGTTTTGTTATGATGTCAGTTTTGAAGCATTAAATTTACATAAAAAGATGTTATTTTACCCAGTGAAATTCGTTTGAAAAAAAATCAATTAATTGCATCTGAATGCACTATATAACAATATTTATCATTATTATATATATATATAAAAATCACAGTGTTATTTTATAATTATTTTAACTAATTCATCGATATATAAAAGAGCAACCGTTTATCGGAACAAAAATCTCATTCTTGTAACATTTACTTCTCTGCAGGTGTATGCCTATTCAGGCAATGCGTTTACAAAGTATTTCAGGGATACTTCTAATCGTTATACAAAATATTAGGCATTAAAGGAACTTAGAGAGAAATTCATTAGGAAAAAAATCGATGATAGAATTTCAGCGTGGTATTTGAAATAAGTACAAAAATTTTTATTGAATGATGTTCATATGAGTTGTTTAAATGATATACGGAGATAAAATAAAATATGGCGATAAGCTCAAAGTCCATTTAAACAATACAAACTGGGAGAAAAGCTAACAACAGTAATCAAGCTTAAAAATCCATTGAAACTATACAAATTAGGAGCAGAGCAAACACGAACCTCCAAAAACATCAGAGGTGGGATCAGGTGCCATGGAGGAGTAAACATCCTCTGTCGACCTGCCAAACCCGCTGTTTCTCCTTGTCCTGATTGGGAAAACGGGAGAATTCGTAGACAATTCAGTGTGTAAATAGTGGTCAACAACTTGTATGAGAAACGTCAGTCATTCGACTTATTATTAGATTGTATATGCTGACAAAGTCATTGTATCGACAATAGAATTTGCAAAATGTTGACTTAAAACGATACTTCTGATATCCTTGTTTCATTTACTTGTTTGTCAGAAGTTTGTCTCATTTTAGAAATTGTTCGTACGTAGAGCGTGCTCTTGCGCATCGAATCAACTGGGAGACATAAACTATATATGCAGGTGATATAGGAGATATTCAATGTTTTGTAGTTGGATATGGAATTTTTTTCACGACTGAAACAGGGTTTTTGATATTTTCACGAGAACCACGAGTGAAAATATTAAAAACAATCCTGTCTCACAACTGAAATAAATTCCATATCCAACTACAAATCATTGAATTTTCTGTTTATTACATTTTCTTTTGATTTTCCAGGCCTTTGTCTCTGTCTTTTCTTAAGGTATCCGACCCTTATTAGGACCTAATTATCTAACCTAAAATATCCATCCTGTATTAAATACTCTGGTATTAATTCAAAGCATTTTAGAGTAGTAAAGGATTTACCAAGAGAAATTTTCAAAAATATAATTACCTAAGCAATAATTAATTAATGAAGATTGCATTGATGTCCATGGGGACAAGCAAATTTTTGAAAATAAAAATTTAAATACTAAGAATATCAAAAAATGCTGTGGTGGAAAGATGTATTTAATTATTAGGAATAGAAAAGCGATTGAAAACTAAATTTTTACCAGATAGATTTTTTTAGAATAAATTTTTATTGATTAAGAGCAAAGGGGGATAACTCTTCAAGTACAGGACAAGGTCAAAAATTAGGACACATTCTGCTCTTACATATTGATACTAAAACATGAAGATTATGTCTACATATATCGAGTATTCAGCCAATACATGTATATATCTGTTCTGCATTCAGATTCATTGAATCTGAGGCTATTATATATAGGCTGTTACGTCATAGTTGAGCCGTTGAGATGTCATAGCTTAGCAATTCTGAGACTGAAAACATTGTAACATGGATTTTAGCACCATATTTGGGAAGAAATGAGTTGTTTAATCTCTATGAAGATCTTTATCTTATGACAGGCCAGAATTATTTTTTACTAATTGATATCCTTTCACACTGAGAGATAACTTTAGTATCCTTTCAGACTGGGAGAGAGTATCACTGTTATTCAATAAATAAAGCACAGTATTTCACTGTTGAAAATGTAATAAAAGGGTTTATTATATAGTCTATAAATAGTCCCTATATAATCTATACAAACGCAAACAGTTCATAACACTACATATTCACCGGATTTGAAGCCGTATTCACCGGGGGGTCAGTGCACGTGCAGTGGCATTGTGACGTCACAATCAATACCCCAAACAACGTTGAAAACAATGGTTGCAACGGTCGGGGCTAGCTGAATATATGGGCAGGAAAAATTGTTTCGCAAGTCTATCGCAGGATTATTTTCTCAACATTTCGATGTCTTACGTAGAGCAAAAAGGAAAACACGGAGGTTATAGTTTGTAATCTGGACATTTTTTTTTTATTTTTCTACGACAGAAGTTCGTTAATGAAAATGAAATCGTCAGGTGGCCTTCAATGTCTTATTCATTAAATCCTGACTATATAATAGAATAATTATGGACTCTTTCGATGGTGAATATGGCTTCGCCTCGGTCAATATTGATATTTTTCTAGTGAATAACAAACCATATTCAACATCGAAAGAGTCCATAATTGTATAATATTGCTACATAAGTAAGGGGAGTTTACGATAGAAAAGTTATCAAGTTTACCATAAAATTTTGTTGTTTGGTTACATTAGTGTCTTTTTCTAGTAAAATTTCCAAATATGAAATACATATGTAAGATTCTGTGGCACCTTTTATTTCAGGTTCACCTCGATATATCAAGTCGACACTTGAGTGGAAGTAAATAATAAATCTCCACAAGCAAGTAAATTCATGCAACGATGTTAATCATTCATACAAGCATTTGAGATTTTTTTCTCATCACATTAGTTTTTCTAATGAACAATTAACCAATTTTTTCATGTCGCAAGAAAACCATGCCCCCCCCCCCCCTTTTAAACGAAATGTTAAGGTATCAAAAGCAAGCTATTGACAAACAAGTTGATGAAACAATGATATCAACAGTCTCGTTTGAAGTCATTTTCGAAGTTCTATGTTCGATACAATGACCTTGTCAGCAAATACAACCTATCATTAAGTCAAATGCTGACTAACGTGTTATATACTAGACGCAGTTGTTATGCCATAATGTACACAATGAATTGTCTACGGATTTTTTGTTTTTCCCGATCTGACAAGGAGCACGCAGCGAATGTGACCAATCTGCAGGGAATGCCCATTCCTCCATGGCACATGATCCCGTCCCTGATGTTTTTGGAGGTCCATGTTTGCTCTGATCACGAATGTTTATATGGACTTTGAGCTTGGATACTGTTCGTTAACCCATATTTTTGTGAGCCAGTACGTGTCAGAACAGATGGACGTTCCCCCACCAAATCGCCCCTGCAATATGTAATCTATATTGGTTTATTGTCTTTGTAGTTTAATTAACAGATAGATATACTTTCGAGAGTATTTTCCTACCAATATGCATGTAAATTTTGGTATTGTTATTCATTATATAAATAATCAATGTTCGTTTTTTGTTGAAAAACTATGGAAAGACATTTTCTTTTTTGAAGAAATAGGCGTATTATTATGTAACAACTAACGTTCAAAAGAAAGCTCAAGGCATTTCACTCAAATAGAAAATTTTGACACTTCAATGGGCATCATTGTATTTATGGTCAGTACATTGATAATAATACAGCAACTGTGTGACTGTCTCATTGAAAGCTAAAAGCTTTACATTGTATCGTCACTTCTTGCTGAGGTTATCTAAGGATTTTATTATAGAGGTACATACAATAAATATTTCTGTAACAATAAAATGATTAATGATATATCTGTAACTGGCTAAGTACATCTTAAAAATATTAATTTTAATTAATACTACATTTTACATAATTTTACGTCTTAGTTTCCAAAAAAATGAGATCTCTGTTTTGTTTTGTGTAGAATGATGAAATATAGAGATAAAACCTTGAAAGTAACTCTATTCTAAGAATAAACATTACGGTAGATGGTACATGTACGGTAGTTGATGGAAAATTGCAAACTCAAAGCTCTTAAGCCCTCATTTAAATATCTCATAAGTAATGATAAAGATGTGTATAATACCTGTACATGTCTTTTAAAAGTATATTTTGATACCGTTTACAAGATGTAAAAAGAAACCATTTTCTAGGAAACACTATTTTAATAGATTAACGCACATAACCTTACCAGTTTGAACATTGTCACAGTGTACTGAACTGTAAAGTGGAAGAGAGACGGTTTCGAAATGGCAATGACTAAACTACAAAAAGAAGGTATATTGAAATTCTTTTTCATTTTCCTTTTTTGATTAAAAACCTATTAAAGGTGCTTAATTAGACACAGATTTGAACTGACTATTTTCTCAAATTTTCGTATAACATCACGACTTATATATTCCAATAGCATTTCACACGAAAATATAATTGAAACTTATTTTATCTGGAAATTATTGAAACTACGAATTCCGGGACGAGTTTGATTAAAACATCTTTGCACTTACACAAATTTTAACTTTATCCTTAATATTTAAGAAAAGAAGGGATTTTGTTATGTATTAATGAAAAATATTTTATCTATAATCCAGAAAATTCAGAGTAGAAATGTACGAAAGCAAAACCAACTCACCAGTATTGTCAGTCCGTGCTCTGTGATATGTACAGAGTTTAACAAATTGAACACACCCGTGAAACGTAAACTGTTTTTGTAAACAGGACACGAGCTCTGTTATTGATTGATTGATTGTTTGATGTTTAACGTCCCTCTCGAGAATTTTTCTATCATATGGAGACGCCACCACTTGCCGGTGGAGAGCTGCAATTTTTTTTCCCTATACTCGGCACTTACGGCCATTGAGCAGTGAGGGATTTTTTTGTGACAGCACTTACTGCGACCGGTCTTCACGTCCCACAGTGGGATTCGAACCCTCGACGTAAGGATTAAACTCCTTACTCCGCGACTCTAGAGCGAACGCTCTAACCACTGCGCCACGCGGGCGATGAGCTCTGTTATTGTTAATGTTTACGATTCACCGGATGTGTTCAATTGTTACTCTGCACACACCACTGAGCACAGACTTACAAAACTGTGAGTGGGTTTTGCTTTCGAACATTTCTATTCTGAATTTTTCATTAATGCACAACAAAATTGCCACTTTTCTTAAGTATTAAGAATAAAACTAAAATATGTGAAAGCGCAAGGATGTGTCAATCCAACGCGTCCAGAAATTTAAAGTTTTAATAACTTCCAGACGAAATAAGATTTTCATTATATTTTAGTATGAAATGCTATAGCAACATATAAGTCATGAAATTATACAGAAAATTTGAGAAAATATTTACTTCAAATCTGTGTCCAAGCACCTTTAACAAGCAATTCAACGAACTAATCGATCCTTGTTTCACAAAGATCTTATTTACAAATTGAATTAAAATATAAACTTTCATCTTGGTTATACATGTAAATTATGATCAGTTTTAAGGGATCTTTAAACACTCCTCACTGAGGAGTTCTAATCATTTTGAAACTTTAATGGATGATTCCTTGCATTGTGTCAAAGTGATTTCTATTTTTAAAAAAACCTGGAATTGGCCGCACACAGTTACCACAGAAACAAAACAGAAAAAAGGGATTATGCTCACAATGTTCTCAGAGGTGGCTTGGAAAATCTTGATGAAACTTTGCAGAAATTATAATTAGAAACTCTAGGTGTGCAGTCAATATTCAAATTTTTCTAAATTCCTACCGTTGCCATGGAAACGGAAGAAAAGTGAAAATTCTTTAATTTCTATTTTTCTCAGTAACTACGCAAGCAATCTTTTGGAAACTTAAAAGGTTTATCCCTTCTACTAGATCAAATTGTTTTCCGCAAAAAAATTGGAGCAGGTCCATCGCTTCAGCCACCGAAACGAAGTCGTATTTTAGTTCACCTTAGTTTTGTACTCGTGCATTCTCGTAGATGGCTTTCAAAATAATCATGAAACTTTACAGAAATAAAAATCACCAACCCTAGTTGTGCATGGGATATTTTATTTTTTCAAAGTTTGTCGCTGACGCCAGGTAAGGAACAAATGATTTAAGAAAAGTCGAGGTCACGTGACCATTAGAAGGCATCAGAAGTTTCTTTTAATCAAAGTACTGGAAGGACTGATACGAGTTGATGGTTGTCCAAGCTTAGCCAATGGGTATTGATTTTAGTGATGAAAAAATGAGATGTCTATTTCGAAACAGAAATTTAAATTTCCATTTGATTTGTGATGTCAATTTCACGACATGATGCAATGTATTTTAAAATACAATTAACAGAAAATATTTTATGAAACTATAAGACAACGATATTTCTGCCTTTTTTTTATTTATAACATAATTATACAAGTTGTACATTTATTGAGCACTGCTACCTTATTTTAAGAAATGAAATGAACTTGCACAACTATCATAAAATATATTAAAACCACAATTTTTGACATTCCTTATAGTGTATGCAGCAAGTATGTTTTTGATAAGTGTCGTTTTTCTCTGATAATTTTTTTTTCTTGAGTAATGCTCTATTTTCACATGCAATTTTCAAATAAAATTATGTTAACTAATAAATATAGAGTCAAAAGAGTTATTGTACATTTTTACTACCCTCCTCTTACACACGCCTCACCCAGAATGACAACAATATAAAATATTTTTTCTTAACTCGAACTCAACCTCTGATCGACTTTAAACCTACTAAAGACCCATAATAAATTGTGAAAATGTGCTTCCCTTTGACTCATTTAGTTAATCGCCGTATTTCTGTACAAATGAACAGAGATATAAAATTTACTTTTTGTAAATCAAGTTTCCCTACTGTATGAGTTTATATTCCGCTGCCATGATGCTTTTTCTGTTGCGTGTGTGTAAATCATCTTATTCCAAATATAAACCAGTTGTATTAGTTAAATTATTTCCGGTATCAGTAGTGACTAAAAACTGGCGATATTATTCCTTCAATATACAATCCAATTCTCCGGATATGATAGTGTTAGTTACATGTATAAACATCTGTGTTCTGATGTATTTCATTTTCATCAATCAGAAATAAAAGAAAAAAGAGGTTTTTGAGGAAATCAAATTTTTTATTAATCACAATCTTGTCTTTCAAAACTTTTATCTCCGCACAACAAATCCTCCACAATCCAAGGGTCGGTAGTCCAATCCCAACAAATGGACCATGTGTTTTTAAAAGCTTCTTTAAAAATAACAACAACAAAAACAGAATGATACACTTTCAGACCATTTCTAATAAAGCCAGTTCGTGGCGACATACGCTCTAGCTTGCAATGGCAGGCTTTCTAGTTGTTTTTGCAATTATATTTATTTAGAGTTATCTGCCTTTGATTGCAAATAGAATGAACCGAAATCTTACAGCATATCACTCAATTAAAAAAGTATTCTTTATATTATATTAGACTAAGATAAGTTAAATGAATTCATGATATACATGTGTTTTTCCAAGGTAAGTAAATAACAGTGATTTCCGTGCATTAATATATATACGTACTTCATTGTTTTGAACAATTATTGTAGGGAAATGTGTCAGGTATCCTATATTGAAAAGGAACTAGGTTAACTGATCATGTACTCTTTTATATGATACATTTTTTTAAAGTCCAAAAAAAAAAAAAAAAAAAAAATCAATCAATTTTTCATTATTATTGAAAACTTCCTTATTATCCTTTCACTACGATGTTCTAGGATACACTAGCAAAAAATATACAGCATAATGTTTTACATTTCAATGGAATGTACATGTATAATAAATGAGTTTAAATAAGGTAAACTTAAGATATTCTTCCAATACGCGTTCTTACGGATTCCTTATTTGAAATTTATAATTATTGGCACTGTTCTCCAATGTTTCACTCAAATTTAGTTTCCTTCTCTTTTAGTGCATTCTCAGACGACATCAAGCAAACCTGAAATTTTAAAAGTATTATAAAAACAAATTTTATATTCATCTGAACAAGGGGATAAGACGAGAACAAAATTTTACCTTTTCATGCGGAGAGATATACGAGTAGTCAGTTGTAATGGTTTTCTCATTCAATAATGAGTCCGACTTTATTACTTGTTTTGGTTTTTGTGTCTTCTTGCCCGACGATGTTCCGAAAATCGATAGTATTCCTCTTGTCTAAGAGAACAAAAATGACGTTAGAAAGTGGTCCTAAATAAAGATGTCAAAATAAGGATGAAAAAGATGTTACAGCTTTAATTCGATCATATCATAAATCATCAAATAATTGCTTAGTGTTTAAAAAAAATGCATGTTTGTATACACTTCTACTACGAAAATTTAACTAGCTTTACTTTAGGTTTCACTATAGGTCGATCAGAGGAAGATGACTGTGTCCGTGATACAGAGGTTGTTTCCTTTTTGCTTGACTCGGTAAACATACTTAGCCCACTTAGGGAGGGATACTGAGTCTGTATACCCTTGATCAACTGATTATAGAATTAGAATATTTATTACTTAAGTATTCACCAAAAACATTATTTCATATACACAGTTTCAAGCAGAATCAATTGAGCCAAATTCCTTGAACATAAAATAAATCTTAAACAAGCCAGTTTTTATTTTAGTAACAATATTTAATAACACGAAAAACTAAGAAAAATTATAAAATTTGTACAACTAAAGGAATACATGTAAACAAAACACAAAACAGAGTAAGACAAACCAAACAAAACAAACATAAAAAAGGTTCAGAACAAATGGCTCTTCTTTCAATAGGAAGAATTTAAGAGATCTTTCCCAACTATTTTCGCTTGATAAATGCTTAACCTTATATTATCGCCACACCCTAGTCCAGAAACTCACAAAGGACCATACTGGAATTCACATTTCCTGTACCTTCCAGATCTGGAGACGTTTTCTTATTCCCATACAGTATATGAAATTTGATCCTCACTTTAAGTCTCATCCGAACAACAAGGTCCGAGCAACAAAGAAGTATTTGCATATCAAAATGTTTAAGTGTAATTTTCTTGCTTTTCTTTTGAATATTTCTTCAAATATAAAACTTTGAACTTTTTTTGAAACGGAATCCTAACCCGGGGGTCATGCTTTGAAAAAATATGAATCCCCAGTAAATTGTAATGCTTGTACATTAATATACGTGTAAGCGTTGTCCTTTTGCGTTTTAAGGTTTTGAACTTTTTCCCCGTACATACCTGATCTCTAAAGCACCAGGCCCCGAGACTTTAAGTTGAAAAAAGGTAAATCAGATGCTTGCAAAATATTGTGATTTATTAAATATACACAGTGAAATACTGTTACCTTTTCCTTGAATAAATGTGATATTTTCGCAAGTGATATTTTGCACAGTGAAAATATCAGAAGTGATATTTTCTATAGACTAATCATGCTCCAGTTGTTCATGAGAAAAAGTTTCAAGATTTATCCCTCCATATTCTAATTGAAAATATTAATCCTGCTATTGTGGCTCCATTTTCGACAACGCCATCCCCAGCAAACCAGGCAAATATAGGTTTTAACTTTTATTAGTCCTGTACATGTAAATTAATATATCATATGTTGGTCTTGCTGTTCTTAGGAGGAAAACTTTAAAATCTTTTAAATATCATGCCAAGCCTCCATCAACTATTGAGAACCCATTCTAAACCGGAGGACCATGTTTTTTTTTCTCAAATCTTTATCTTCATTTCATCTTCATTTTATGCAAATGCTTCTAAATGAATGTGGGTAAATGCGGTCCTTCTGTTCCCGAGAAGTAGATTTTTAAGAATTTTTCTATGTATTCTAGCTTTTATAAATTTTGACCCCTCTATAGTCCAACACCCCTAAGTCTTCTGACCCCCCTTTTTAAAAAGATTTTTAATTACTCCACCAATTTCAAATATTTCTTTATCATCTCCCTTTGGCATGCCTTGTACAAATTTTCATTAGCAATACCAAAAGATTGTTCGTGACAGGTTTAATTAAAATCAAATTGATTTCCTGTTTCTTGAGAGGAAGTTGAAAATGTTAAAATATAACGAACAAAATATGATTGACTGACTACTGTAATGTATAGAACAAAAAAATCAATATAAAGCTTTTGTTTACTTGAGCTAAAAGAGAAAAAAAAAGATGATGATGATGATAATGAAAATAAAAATAACTTTAAAGAAAAATTAACATTGGGGCCATACTATAAAAACAGTGGATATTCAAGGAATAAATAGCACCATTAAAAAAATACAAAACCAGAAACCTTAAAAGAAAAATAGATTACAAGGAATAAAAGCGAGAAAAACTCACCTTCTTGTTTAATACTACATGCGAGATAAATATGAAAAAGCCCTAAAATAGAAATATAGAGTTTACGGTTTAAAATAATTAAAACGAATCCGTCATATATTACTTGCTTCTATTTGTATTTTTTCTTGCTTTATTAATATCGAAAAACTCAGAAAACAGGCACATGAAAAAGTCAGAGCCATACAAATTGAAAATATTGAGAAAGAGTTATCTTTTTTCTCATTAATATACAACTACAACTAATATTCAAATAACATACCTGTAAAGAATTGGCGATGATGAAAATGAACTGGAAAACTTCTACATTTTCGTTTACAGCGAGGACTCCAAATATCCAGGTGACTCCTAATACCGGTACAAGTGTACCGAGAGAACGCAGTGCCGTCCTATTTGTATGGTAATTAAAAAATGCATTTATTTCTCCATTGTTTTATTCTTTCATTTTCATTTGTTAACATTTTGTAGTACTGGGGACAGGTTAAATCATATTGATATTCATGCTAATATTCAGTGAATTACATTCTTGGTTAAGGTTATGATTTTAATATACATGTAAGAATGTAAATGTTGGAGATAAGGAATAGTGATCAATTTCATAAATAGAGTAAACAAAGAAAATCATTAAGACGGCAAAAACATGGACCCCTGGAAACACTAGAGGTAGGATCAGGTACCCAGGAGGAGTAAGCATCCCATTTCGACCAATCACAACAACAGTGAGCCCTATGCATTGATAATGTATGCGGAGAACTCCATAGTCAGATTTCGTATAAAAACAATGACCTAACAAATGTATATGTGAGACAAATACAACCTAGCGATAGGTTGCGTTTACAAACAAATTCATTCTAACGACCGTAGAATTTACAAAAATCTGAACTTTACACGGGGTTGTTTCAAGAACTGTAAAACTTTTCGTCAGTTGCTTTTCCTCAATTTCAAAATTGATCGTATTTAGAGCATGATCTTGCGTTTCAAATCAGTTTGGAGACAAACACCGCATGCAGTGATGTTTAAATATTGCTATGTAAATAAGGAAATTTTATGATGGAAAAGCTGAAACCATCACGCTTGCCGTACAGTTTAATCCTTAGTTGGCCATTATCGTCTATAGTCAGGAAATCATACTAATATGAAACATATGTTGCAATCTCTGTATTGTCTTTTATTTCTAGTTCCCTGGGTTATATTCAGTTGACATGTTAATGGAAGTAACTATTGTTATTTAATTGATAAAACGTCGTTGATATATCTAAGTTTTGAGTTGAGGGCCATGGAAGTTTTCTTCTTTCATGAAGAAAGTTTTGAAAAAAAAAATCTTTTTTAGATAAGATCACAACGGCGGTTCTTACGTATCTAGATTAATTGATGTGTTAAAATTTTACATCAGATTAGAATTAATGTTATTTGTTAAATGTTATCAATGTTAATGTATCTTATACCAAAATTTAAAAGATGAAAATAATACTTACACAGTCTTTTTATGAAGTGATGAATTTATCATTGTAGATGTTGCAAACAATACACGTATTAAGGATACAATTATTAGTACATTTATCTGAAATATAAATCATATATTAAAATACGAGCATTCAAATATGTAAGGAGGCAATCTTCTTCCTTCAGCAAAGTACATGAAAAGAACTCTTTCTCTCAATTACCGTAAATCTGGAAATTTTTGCTGTAGATAAATTTTTAGCAAATTTGCGCATGCATTGCATTCGCAAAAATATTTTTCTTAAAAATAAATCAACAACAAAAATGTTTTTATCTAAAGATTACTTAAAGATTACATCGTTATATATATATTATGTACATGTGTGATTTATGAAAATGTTATGAAAAACTTTAAACATTTTGGATGATTTATCTTTTTCTAATATTTTTATCTGATTATTGAACGTTGGAGTAGTTTAATATTGTATGTTATTCGTAATTTATTGTATGTACATGCGTAACTTAAAACGTTTTAAAAGAAAATTTTAAGAGCTTTTTATATTTTAGTTCAAATGACAATTCGCAAAAATTTTAAACGCAAAAATCAATCAACAGACTTTTGACCCAGATTCGCAAAAATAAATTGACGTAAAAATTTCCAGATTTACGGTATTCATTTAACATTGAAGGAATTGTTTTCTTCTCAGAATACTTTATCTGGACTGAAAGCAAACTTAAACACAAATTCAGTCAAGTCATATAATTTGTGTTTTTTTTAATTGTTGGCATTCGAACCATTACTATCAATGCACTTTTTTCCCAAAAAAGTGTTGAAGAGAAATTTTTCTCAAATAATAAACAGTGTAACAATGTAACATTGAAAAACTAGATATTTTCACTCTTATGAACTAAATGTACATTTATCCAATTTTATTTGCATACTCTCTGTTTTCTTCTACTATGAAGCTGCACTCCCCCAGTTGAGTTCATAGCACTATGAACGGGACTTCTGCTATAAGTGCAGTTCGTTTCTTACACTGACGCAGTACAAGCTACTCTACTTATACAACACATTCAAAAGTATATGTATGAAATGATGTGCAAGAGGAATAAATTTTAGTTTTTAAGGAAATCCTCCGGGAAAAAAAAGAAATTTAAAATGCTGATTGAGGTGTATTTGAATTTTAAAAAATATATAATTTTAGTCAACAAGTTTAATTGTATAATAAAACTTTCTACAGATTAAACAAAGCTCTACATCTTTAATTTATTTGTTCATTTCTACGCATATAGGTACAAAGAACGATAACTCTTCACGCTAGGGTGTTTAACATGCATACACAGTGACATTTTTGTAATAGTATAGTGTTCCTTTTTAAGAATGATTTTAACACTTAAAAAGAATTTTAAGAAATTAAGAAACATAAAAAAAAAAACAAGTTAAAATCGATATAAAGACATTCTCTTTTTTTCATAATATTATAATTAATAATTTTTCTCAGAGAGTTTCGATGACAATGCCATTATGACGCGTCACAACAACATCAAAACAAAAATTTGAAGACGGTTTGTATCCAGATAACTGTGGATAATAAGCAAATATCATATATTGTATGTGATTTCTTGGAGATAAAGTGGATTATATATTAATCAGGTCTATTGATTTTATTGTCATGTTTTTCTTCACTGGAGACATGCACCCGTGCCCTTATTCTTGACATCACAGAATGCAGAAACTAACAACGATTATTCAGTGAACATGGCGTTGTGTATTGCAAAAGCTCTGCAGGCATATTTTCCATGATGCACTAGCGCGCATCATGGAATATGCCAGCAGAGCACTTGCTATTCACTGAATAACGTTCACTTGTTTATTTCTTAAATACATGTATGTAACATCATTGTCGGAGAATTGTCAAAATGTTTTTTACATACCACAGCAATGACGCAAACTGGGACAATAAACAGATAAAGAGAACCACTTTCCATGGAGAGCCAACAGCTAGGAAAAAAATACATCTGCATTCACGTGCATATTTCTGCCATCAATTTTCAACATATAACTTCCATTCTGTGTATAACTTATACTGAAGTAGTATAAATTTTAGTACTGCCATCTTTCTAAAGTACTTTTATGATCATAACGCAATTAACAAAGTTCAACTCTATTTGATTGCTTAAAATGTAAAAGATACAATGCTTTTTGTTTAAAATGATAATTTATATTACCAAAGTTTATCATGAAAGAATTAGGTTGTACTGAAATAAACAAAGTTATGTTTATTTATACTAGCATTGTAATGAAAGAGTAATTTTATAATGAAAAACATGACTCTCTTTGGTGACTAATGATTTTTAATACAACATACTAGTTTTTAACGTGGTATTTATTTCCCCAGAATGCTCCTAATGTTGAAGCTACAATGATTAATGGAATACCTGAAATGAGAGGTTGTATTCATGAGCATTTCTGATTAGGCTACCAAGAATGTTTTACTCAGATTTTTTTAAGCTCAAGTGCATTTTACCTTCAATTGATAAAAAATATAAATATCATAGAAGTACATTGTATGTGCTTTTGTGACCCATATTCATTTAGCAGTTAGGATTCAGTCAAACCATTTGATAATTAGTTAAATGTTTAGTCATTACTTACCCCATCCTCCAAAAAGAAACCAGTGCACTCTGGATTTTGACTTGAAATTGTTCGCCATATACAATGCATAATAGGTCACGGTTATACTCATGAAATAGTAGACACCCATCCCCATCATACAGAAAAACGTCACAAGGAAAAGATAATGGATGATGGCAGTAATTGCAATACACAATCCCTAAAAATATACACAAAATTAAATATAAGGACATTCATTTACATTGATGTTGATATTATAAAAAAATATTAGTTTTAGATACTGAGTACAATCCATGTATTTTTCCTATAAAAGTCGAATGTACAATGCTGTATATTGACTTATGAACGACAAAACAAAAATTCATAATTTACCTCACTGTTTGTTTCTTCCACAGCTGAGATAAATACAACATAAGATAAAATCAAAGATCCACAGAGATTTAGCAACATGATGTTTTGATCATTCTTTATGTGTCTAAAAAATAATTATTCTATTCATAAGATTTTTTGTACATGTAAGTTTTTTGATTTCAAATAATTCAATTAATTTGGAATACTTTCAGAAGCGCATACTTCCATGTCACGATGTAAATTATGAACGTTATCACTGTAAAAGCAATAGAGATGATAACACCCACGAAAGATAAAGTCTTCAGTGATGCTTTGTCTTCCTTCTCCTATAACAGAAGTGAAAACTCCTATTTGTGTTATATGGCATTAAACGACTCTTGTACTCAAACAATCTTGTATAATTTAGATTCTCTCGGTTTCAGAGCAAAGTATAAGCAAACAAGCATGCTGCATCTGTTTGTTTTGTCTTTCGTTTTATTTTTGTTGTTTTATTGCAGCAAAAAATCCTATTTTGAAATCCTAAATGAGAGCATATCAGCTCCCTAGAATAACGAAAGTTAGGAAGGATCATATGTTAGAAACCATCCAATTGCAATTTTGTCCACAAAAGATATAATTCATTGAAATGTCTCTCAATTTATATATTTTTTTTCATGCAGGTTATAAACTTATATTTAAAATTGAATATTTTCTTTCTTACAGATGTATAAGGTCTCATCAAAATAGCAAAGTTGGTCAGATGGTTACACTGGCACACTGTCCTCATGTCATTGGTTGAATTTACTTTGCAGCCTTTTTCTGACCACTTTCTGAAGCCATAAAATATATATCTTAAATACATAAAGAGATTTGAATCAACATTTCACAAATATGGTTTTTCAAAAGATTTTAGCATAAGACGGTAGTGTTTGGAATAGCTTTAAAAAAGATTAAAATGCATAGTTCTCATAACTGAACAAGCTTGTGATTATACAGGACGCTTGTTGAAGACTATGTCCCATCATATGCCACTGACAAATATATTGATGTTACATTGATTTCAACAACCTCGTTTAAAATCAGCATTTCGTTAATTCTATTGTCAGTTAGTAATGACCTTGCTAGCAAATACAACTTATCGGATCATTTTTTGACTAACATATTTCATATCACTTGTTAGGCCTTTATTGTTATACTAAATATGACTACGTATTATTCCGTCTAACTGATCAAATCAATACATTGGAATCACGACAGTTGCGACCGGTCAACAGGGGTTGCTAGCTCCCCCTAGGCACTTGATCCCACCTCTAGTATTTCCAGGGGTCCCTGTTTTATGACCCGTTCACAATTTTTTGCATTGACATTTTTTTTTAGATCAATTACTGTTCGTTATCTTACATGTAACCTGCTATTTCATTGGAAACACTTAAAACAATGTGGCTTTAGATATACCGCTAAGTACAACTCCATTCGAAAATTGAAGTCATCTATCGATAGAAATATTATATTGATAGTTATGGAATTTCTTTGCTCAATCGATCTATAATTGAGAGAATCTCGTGAATTTCAGAATTAAATGAAATTTTTTTTGTTACAATTTTTAGTTTTAAAATTCTAAATTTTGAAAAAAAGAGGGGAAATCTTTTCGAAACGTTGAACCAAACCTCTTGAATATATTTTATGATTGATTGATTGATTATTGTTGTTTTACGCCGAGTCGTGAATATATTTTAATTATCATCAATGTATCTTTTAAGTAAAATAGAATCAGGATTGTTGGTTTTAAAACTCATTAAAGAGTACAAAATATATATTACCTGCAGTATTCTTAGGTGTGTAACACAGAAAAAAGACTTACTTACTTTAGAGTAAAATTCCATGATACACAGGAAGCTTGAAATTCACCGCTTTTGTTCTGGGAACAAAACAGTTATTTAACAAAATAATCTGCTTGATTTACTCATTTGCGTTAAATAATAACCACTATCAGTGTAAATAAACACAGATTAAAGTTGCAAAACTACACCATATAAATGTTTACTTCTAGGAATGTATTAAGACATTCTCAGTATACATTTTATTTAACTTTTTCTATTGAACTAAAAGCGGCCCGTGTTTGACTTACCTTGTCGAGATGTTGAAAAGTAAGATTTAGAGGAGGAAAGAGAAATCCCAAATCTGTCTGCGTGGTAAGTGACAAAATTTCAGAATTCACAATCTCTTTTTTCCTCGCTCTCTCATCTTTTGTATTTGTTTTCAATTCATCATCTCTGAAATATATAAACAAACGAGAAAGCATTAGAGAGTCATTTTTAATAGGAAATAAACCTCATTTGAGTGACTAAACTACGTCTCCATATGTCATGACTGTTTACCAGCTGATGAGATATAACTTTCTGTACATGTACAGAGTATCAGATCTCTATCCTGTCAATTGCAAAGAAGAGGCCTAAGGCCCGCAATGCTCATCTGAGTCACATTGACTCTGCTATTCTGAAGAAGATTTTTTTAAAAAGAATTCCCTCTTTAATCCATTAAAAATGCTTGATCCCATATTGTTGCCACATCTTAACTCCAGTGATTTATAATTAAACAGATCTTGAAACCTTGAAACGATACTTGGAATGTTTCATCATTAATTTGACTTTAAAGGCCTTGCTGTTCTGGAGATGGGATTTGTTTTAAAAATAAAAAGTTTTTTTAAGACAGACAACTTGACACTGGACGGACTACGGAAGGCAGGTAATCAGAAAAATCCCACTTGAACTTATAGCTCAGGTGAGCTAAAAAAACCCCAATGGTTTACTTGCGAAATGAAGCTACAAAAGTAATAAATAATATAAAAATAACAATAATATACTTTGTTGATTTTTATTTACCTTTCTGCTTCTGAATGCGTGCGTAAAATCTCTGAAATAGTTCTATATATCACAGCAACATAAGCAACAGCTGGAAGAAAGCAAATAAAAAATATTATTCAATCAGTGTGTTGATATACAGTGGTGCCGCGTTTATCCGGACGCCATTTATCCGGACGCTTCACCATCCGGACGATATTTTTTGGGAACCGATTTTTTCCACGTTATTTTGTCTCATTAATCCGGAAATTCGCGTTCCGTATCCGGACGGTCAATTTCTACTACAAAACGTAATATTTCATTGAAAAATGACTCGTTTATCCGGATGGTAATTTTTCAAGAAACGACTTTTTCACACTTATCTTGCATTCGCGTTAATTGTTGTAAAAACATTGGCCATGCAGTCAGTTTGAAGGCGGTTACATGTACCTGTGACCTACAAACAATAGCGTCTATAATTAGCGTGTTTACCCCAATTCAATCACACGTTTATCTTTAGTATGAAGCAAAGAATTTAGCTTATACTGTGCATTAATTAAATAATAATCCGTTCAAAATCATATTGCTAACCGTATATGCATCGGTAAATTCAGGAGAATTTTGGAGAGTTGTAAATAAAATGAACAATAAATAACGAGCGATTTCGTAATGCTCTTTATCATGTCGATTGCGTTAGTTTAAAATACGAATCTATTTCTAAAAACGTTTATGTATTTGAAACGCTTTTTTCCCACACGACAGTTTACAAAGGTACATAATTGAAGAAATATATCTATTTAATTTAGTACCATTTACAAACGTCCATTACTTTAGAAAAGATATATAAAACTGGCGTTACGTACAGATGTTGATTACGTTTTTCAAGGTATTTTAATGATGGGAATTCAAACTTAGCTTCTGTAGAAAAAATAATATTGATAATCATAAAGATGGCTTGTGATTACGAATGTTTTTAATACTTCGTTTGAGTTAGCTTGCAGTGTTCAGTTATTTTATAGTAACCCTGTGTAATGAATATACGGGGAATATACGGGGTTAGTTTATATTTGAACATTTTCAGTGATGATGCTGAACAGTTCTGTCATATCATATGAGCTTCAATAAATATAAAATATGGCGAAATAAAACAAAAGTAGATCAAAATTTGTTCACCCCATGAAGTCACATGCCAAAGAGAAGGTGAATTAAAAAAGGAGGTCTCAGCATAAAATTGCCCATCCATTTTTTTATTGCGTAAATTACATTTTAATATATTTTTTTCTTTAATCAATTACTGCGTTTAAAACAATAAACCAAAATATAATTTAAAAGTTTTTTTTTTCCTTTGCTGTCACATTTTAAACAGGAATGTGCATATATACATGCATAAAGAGCGTTTTTTGAGATGTGATTCAATTATCCGGACGATTCATTTATCCGGACGAATTCGTTGGGGACAGAGACGTCCGGATAAACGAGGCGCCACTGTAATCAGTAAATGAATAATTTGACTAACCATTGTCACCAACAGACAGTTAATAACCTGCTGTGATTACCTTTCTCTGATTTATTTGCCTGCATTGGTAATTGAAGAAACGTAGCGATTTCATCGACAGGTTCGTTGGTATTGTTTGACGATCTTTCCGGAAAAATTATCCCATTCTCATCTAGATTTGTTTGATCAACTGTCACCTCTTCAAACAAAGTATACGACATTTAAATAAATATACGTGTATTTTTCGCTGAAATTTACTTTATTATGCTATTGAAAATGTTTATGCAAGCATTTGCATAAGCACACCTTACCAAAATTTTTGCCAGTGAATGTTGATGTTGTTATGTTGTCACTTCTCAGGATGACTTCACTAAGTCTGTCCATATTTTTCAATAACAAAGTGGCATCCTTCTCTGTCTAGATATAGTACGGAAATCAGTATTCGAACGCCAGAATTAATGAAATGCATGCACAGTAGATAGTATTATAATATTTCGTTAAAAGAGAAATAAACTCAGCTAATGGGAACGCAAAACAATTTTTTTTTTATAATTTAGACACCCTTGCTTAATCCAGTACCTTGTCTTGCACAGTTGTCCATGATTCAGTATTACTGGTAGATAAAACATTGTCAACGACCTCAAAAAACACCTAAAATGTTAAAAGTCCTCACAAACTTAAGGTACATGATTTTTTCTCTCCATTTTTATAATTAGTTTCGTATTTTTAAATATCAGGAGCACTTTATGGTCAATTATAAATTTTAATATTTTGAGCACTTCCTGTACATAGTATCAAATGAAAAAAAAATTAAGATGAAATTGTTTGATTTACCTCTTTTTTAATTTTTGCACTTGTCATATTTGTGACGTTGACTATCTTTTCTATGATGTCAAGGGAGGAACTAATATCACCGGCACTCAGTGCATTACTCTGTGATGTCAGGTTCTTCATTTTCACTAAAGTGTTGTCTATAGTTTTCTTTATTTGCTCTGAGTTATTAACTCCGTCTTCTATCAAAACGTCCAGCTGATGAAGGAAATTCCAAATAATATATTACTTTCTTTCTTCAAAAGCAGCTTATTCCATATCACTTGGGGGGGGGGGGGGTGTTAAATGTTAATAATAAAGATCATCAATCTTTTTAGATGCGTCTAGTTTTGTTCTCAAATGAAAAAAATAATCAAGCCGTAGTTATTAAACTTTCAGTTAGATATAACATCATATAATCACATATTTAGCCGTTTCATGAAGTCGATCCATAGACATATCGATCATAGAAAGGCATATCGACCTAGCACGAATTTCGAGGTCGATAAGATTTTCTGTGAAGTTGATTTACCTATAGATTGACCAAACGAAGATGCAACATTTATTATTTTCCATAAATGCTACATTTGCTATCATATTTTTAGACAGCGAATGACACAATTTGGAAAACATTATGGGAACAATAATTGCAAGTTTAAACACATCAAAGAAAAATTTCCCTAATTTAGTATTAGAAAGTACCGGTCGATCCGAGTTTACGCTAAATTAACCACCTGATCCGAAAAGAAATTGGATTGGTTTGAATCATATAATTTACGCAAGTGAATCACATCTATTGTTATTGAAGCAACCCCCCCCCCCCCCATTATGTTATTAGAAAGTACATTTCGATCCGAAATTTATGTAATTGCTAGCGCTCTCGAGCGCTAGCAACTACGTTAGTCTATATTTCTGAAATACGCATGCTCGATTTCACGGTCGGGGATTCTGGGAAAACTATTGTAGATAGACTGTAGATAGACTGTACGATAACAATTTCATTTTGTCATACAAAAATAGAAATGATCCGAATTTACACTGGCCTTTTCGTAGGTTAGAGAGAGTCAATACCAGTCTGGATCCGGATTCTGAATATTTTTTTTTAATTTATTGTCTAACCTACACATAAAAGTACAAGAAAAAAATTGGCCATATAATGCCAAGATTCTAGACATCTAGCTTTCCTTACAGTTTTACCACTTTAGTGGATAATTCCGGCAAGCTCGGAAACAACAACAACAACAACCACAACAATCTTTTTCAGAGTATGTCGGAAAGACATGTCAGTTTAGTGTTTATCAACTGAAAATACATATGATCTGAAGTTTCGTGTTTTGTTGTCTAACCTGCACGTAAAAGAACAAAAAGTAACAGTATCTCGGGTCTTATAAAACCAAGACTGTTATTTCTAAAGCTGTAATGAATACATAGCTTTTCTAATCTACCTTCATGGATCTTTCCGGCAAGCTCGGAAAACCGCGGCAACATCGGATATGTTTTCCGAGCTTGCCGGAAAGGCCCGAAGGTGCTCATTGGTTCTACTGACCTTTTATTTTTCACCTCGAAATTGAAATTACAGTAAAATACAGAATGCTTAAAGCACAGTTAGGAGTTATGCCATTGCCGACGTGAAGCACACTCTTAGATTCACCATTCTGAATTGTGTCCATCACCCCCCCCCCCCCCCAAAAAAAAAAACTCAACCCCCAGTGCACCAATCTGCCTTCCTATTAATAATTAATCGATCCAGCAAATTTAACATATGGTTCAGATATCTTCTTCTGTATTTTATTATGCTACAGCGCTAGCTCACCAATCTTTTTAAAAGATAAGCTTGTAATTAGATATACTGGCCTGCCTGCCTGATATTTCGTTCGATAGAGACAGGAAATACCAGTCTAATAATTAGAAATCCCCGATGGCACTAGCATTTCTATTCCTTGACACGTGATTTTCAAAATGTGAACAAAAATAATCAAAGTGAAGTCTGTTTGAGAATCCTTGTCTATGTTATAGATCTGTTCAGCAAAGTATTGCCAATAATAATAATTGAAATATGCCCACACTTACCAAATGTTTTAGTTTTTGGATTAGTACTAACATGACTAAGGATCTCTCGAAATAATAAAGATATAAGTCTTAAGCTTAAGGACCCTCTATACACTAAAGGAAAATATTTTTTGGACAAAAAATGAGAAAATTATAGCGTTTAAAAGTTTAGACGATGAGCTTCTCTACTGCATGTTCAACATAGGGTACTACGCATTTACCCCAGGAAAAATGTTCAAAGACAATCACTTGTTTACTAAAGTGGGTATAATACCTGCAAATGAAGTGTTCAATCTATTCCTTCCTCTTGACTTATTAAAAGGCTATGGATGCTTTTTCATAATAAATTAAGAAATAAACTGAACATGTCAATTAATTTTATTCTAGATCAAAGGGCAGATTACGCTTTCTGCATAATAATACCACAAAATCAGAATACTTTAGTGTGCAGTGTATAGAGGGCTCTTAAATGATTCACATTTTCTTCTATTTATATTAAACACAATGACGTACCTCTTTTGAAGCGTTCACAAAACCTTCGTCAGTACAGTTGATCAGACTAGGGATTTCCCATTCACCTCGAGTGTTACAAAATCTAGTTGCAGTTCCTGAAGCATTGAAATCGTGAATTTTCTTATTTGTGTATGAATATGCGTGTGTGTTTTCTTTCTTGAACTCAATGTAACATTTCTGTATTATCAAATCAAGTTACTTTAAGAGACACAGTGAGCGAGAATTATCGTTTCTGAAATTTTTTTCCTCAATCGAAAAGATTATAAATTAATCATCAATTAATTAAATTCTAAAATGAGTAAAGCAAAGCTTTGACCTGCTCAAATGCACTGTAAATCAAATAGAGACTACAAAGCAAGGGTTGTATCAGCCGCATAATTGAATTGTCAAAGTCAGCGTCACGTGATTTGTATTTATATCGTGAAAGTCATAAAAACATTAATCAGCGTACGCAAAAGGTAAATTATATGCCCCGACTGGAATTTTTTCGCAGACTTTGTCAAAATCTTTCTTTACTGAGATTCACTTTCTTGGATTTGATTTCATTTTAACATTTCAACGTTTACTACACGAGCGTATAATCTGGAGAAAGTATTGGATCAGACAGTAACAGTAAAAAAAGTACATTCTTTAGCTTCTGAGATCTAGAACTAAATGAAGCCAAAAACTTCCCTGAATTGACATAATTTGCATTTGCTAGACAAAAAGTCTCCTTTTTCCATTTTTCCTTCTTCCTCGTCACTGTGTCTCATAAAAATATTCTCAGCAGAAAAAATTCAAACAAATAATAAAGTCAATACCATTATCATTTTCCTTTTTCCCCTTAAAGCATTAAATATATGTAAAATATTTACTTTCGAAGTATGAACCTATACCTTTTTTATTTTTTGGACAGGATTCTCTTTTAGTTGTTCCTGCGATTGTTGCATTCCATGTTATTCCTTCCAATACTGTGTTTGGACATCGAATTTGTTCTTTGGAATTTAAGTATGTAATTATTCAGGGACATGTATAAGAGAAACAATTTAATAAGAGAATAATGTTCTATGACAAAGAAGCAACGTATTTCCGATAATTATCCATAAACATTTGAAGCTAACAACAAACTATTGACCCACCTGGTTTTGTTACTATGATATTAACAGAAACATTTGTTGGATCAGGATAAGAAGAATGTGAGCACAAATAACTTCCAGAATCACCATATCCTGCTGATGTCTTCCGAAGTGTCGTGGATATGTTAGTTGTACTTATATTAAACTTCGAGTCTACAAAAATCATTTCATTATGCGTATTACATGAACAATTTTTGTCTTCAATAAAGGTGAATTACTTAATGACCAAGAGAAAATGCTAATGATTACTGTTATACGCTTTATTTCGTCTTAGCTTTTTTTTTACAAACCTCTTGCGATATTATTCCCATCTTTTTGCCAAATTAAACTTCCGCTCGTTGAATTAGATAGAGATTCTGGATTAATGACTGTACATTGAAGATTTAAACTTTCTCCACTTTGAGTTGAAAAATCATATTGGGGTGTCATCTGCAGCAAAAGTCTAGGGAGAACTAAATGTAAATACGAATATCAAGTTAAATGTTTTAATTTTGCATCTTAACCTTAATGAAGAAAACAAATCTTGTAGTTCTTGAGATTTCAAAAATATTCACACCGTCGAAGGATTATGTGATACAATTTGACAAAAAAGAATTTATTCAAATTGGCGAAAAAGAAAGGCCCAACGTCAAAATACTTGCAATAGATAATATTTTAATTATGATGTATGAAATCTAGACAAAGTGAATGAAATCTAAGAATCTGATCAAATAAAAGGAAATGTCTCCCGCGTGGCGCAGTGGTTAGAGCGTCTGTTCTGGAGTCGCGGGGTAAGGAGCTGATCCTTACGTCGCTGTTCGAATCCACTGCGGGACGTGGAGACCGGTCCTTCGGATGAGACCATATCAACCGTGGTCCCGTGTCGCAGTAGGTGTTGGCACGCAAAAGATCTCTCACTGCTCAATGGCCCTGACTTCCGAGTATAGGTATAAGTTTGCAGCCTTTCACTGGCAAGTGGTGGCGTCTCCATATGAGTGAAAAATTCTGGAGAGGGACATTAAATAACAAACAAACTAATAGGAAAGCTTCATCATTGTGTGTCTTATTTTCCCCTGGGAATTACTATAGGAAAGGGGCACACTAGATCTGTAAATTTATTCAGTGGATATTATTATCTGATTTGAACATGTATGATACACTTTAACAGATTAGTCCTCACACACAGATTTCAAATGAATGTTTAGAATTTAACTTCATACTTTGTTATTTTTGACATATAAACATTTTTCGAAAGAGAACGAATGCAGAATTTAGTAAAGAACAGCAAATCATAAAATTACTTTAAATTATAAATAAATCTGCATTGAATTTCATTTAGTGAATTTAGTGAATGAATACTAAATAATAATGAAAAGAGAATTGATAATCATGAAGATTTAGATCCAAAATTTGGCTTATATTCTGACTACCCTACTATTTTGATATTAGAGGCGAGGAAGTGCAACATATACTCTACAACGGACCTGAGAATCTGTAATAATCAACATATTTGAGCTTCAGTATTAAAAAGGCATGTAAATAAAGTTTTTAAATTGTGCCAACATCTATGACTTATAATAACACGAACATTCACGATATCCTCACCTCTTATATGGATACTTCTATATGCTGTAGTTACACCATTTGATACTTCAACTGTCCAATTTCCTACATATCAATGAAAATACAAAGAATAATCGCTTTCATAAATCTTTATTAAAACAATACAAATCGAGAAAAGGGTAAAAATGTGGAATACTTAAAACTCATAAAATGTAATATTGACATTACTGTTTTAAAAACCTTCTTTTATTTTATTTATACATATACACATTTTGAAACTTTACCTTCATCTCGTCTCATAACATGGGAGATGTTTAGCATATGGAAAAATGAACCATTGGGTGCTTTAAAGGAATTTCTAACATATCTTAAAGAAGCACTGGTTATTCCGATTCCGCTTCTAAACCATTGGACACTGGGACTGTTGTTATCCACTGTTTCCAATTCAAACCACACAGGTTTCCCTTCACGCAATAATACATTGTTACTTCTAAAAGAAAGTATTTTCAGAGATTCTGTAAAAGAAAAAATGAACACAAATAAATAAATAAATTGAAAAAAATTACAAATTCATTCGTTATTCTCAACAGCTTTAATATTCCCAAATATTGCATAATAATGCATTTCATATTAAAGATAACCACCATCTTTTTTCTTACGTCATTACCGATCACGACTTTCTTTTAAATTTGTGTCGATGTATTATTTAAATACAAGCTTCTTAAAAAGAATATATGAACATGTATACCGTGGTATATATAAAAACAGAAAAAAAACAGTTACGGGGGAAAAAGTTCAAATTACTACAATATATGGGATTTTATGTTAGTATGTGTGGTATTATCGTACATCGCAGGAATATAACGTCAATGTGCCTAAAGCAACGGTTGGATAACCTCCCATTACATGCACACGATCGGGTTTCCCTTTATTCCTTCAGCAAGGGACAAATGTTGCAGACACATGGGATCATCTAAAAATTTGTATGTACTCCAATTACATTGAAATAAAAAGGCGATCTTTTTTCGACGGTCTTTAGTCATAGCAAATATCCCTACTGCCATGACGTAGCTGTTCGTCGTATGTTTTGTTCTACCCGGGGACTCGATGAGAAAGCTTTCGCTTGAAGAAACGCCGAATCCTCTATTAAACTAAAGATCTGGTGATGTTTTCATATTTTATAAAAACATTTTTTACCATTTAAATGTGTAAAAGCGTTAATACTGAATCTAACATCGGAAATTAAACTAACTGTTCCATGGTGAGCCGTAATGTCATCAAACGTCGCTATTTTTAGTCCCCTACCGGTGAAACCGGAGGGGACTATAGGTTTCCTCTGAGTCTGTCTGTCCGTCTGTCCGTCCGTCTGTCTGTCTGTCTGTCTGTCCGTCTGTCTGTCCCTCTGTCTGTCTGTCAGTCTGTCCCACTTGGTTTTCCGCACTTTTTTCCTAAACGCTTGCAGATATTGAGCTGATTTTTGGTATGCGAGTGTATCTTGATGAGTTACAGATCAAGTTTGCATTTCGTTCCGCTTCATTGATTTTTGACGGAATTACGGTCTTTTCAATTTTTACGGGTTTTCCACAATTTTCTTCTAAACGCTTGTAGATATTGAGCTGATTTTTGGTATGTGGCTTTACCTTGATTAGTTACAGATCAAGTTTGCATTTCGTCCCGCTTCATTAATTCTTGACGGAATTATGGCATTTTCAATTCTTAACGGGAACGGAACCAGATTACACTTGCCGGTAGGGGACTAGTATTGCTAATGCAATACTCTCAGAATGCTTGTTGTTTTATGTTTACCACTTTCCATTTCTATATTACAAAAAAGAAAGTGACTTAGATATAACATATTTTACCCGACCTTTATCTATTTAATCCTTTTATTTTCAAATAATACTCGCGTATTCTCTGATGTTTTGTCGTACGTCGTAATTAATAGACCATATACTGTGCAAAATCAAGTATGATGAAATATATGGAGATAAAGAACAGTATTCAACTCAAACGTCCATTTAAATAACACAAGTCAGGAACAGAGCAAACACGGACGGACCTCTAAAACATTATAGCTGGGACCAGGTGCCATGGAGGAGTGAGCATCTCCTCATTTTTGTCAAGATTTTATGTCTAAATTTTATGGCGATGAAAAATTAAAATGCACTCGAATATAATAAATCAACATTTCCTGAAAAATTACAGCTTAGCACATCATATATATATATATATATATATATATATATATATATATATATATATATATATATATATATATATATATATATATATATATATATATATATATATATAAGCGTTGTGATCAATTTTATTGGACAACGCTAGTATAGGGTTAAATGTCGATTTTGAGAGGGAAAAAAAATAGATAAATTTAAGTTATGTACGCCAAAAATGTTTTCGTATAAATTATCACCATAATGTTATAAACGTTCGCTTGACATTACAGTAGCTATACCATATTTGTATACATGGAAACCTCTTAATGTTAATGAATAACACCTGGAAGAATCCTACTTGTATGCAGTGTAGGCATTTATAAATCAAATGAAAAATCTTTGATTTGATTTATTATCACTTATTAAAAGACTGTTTTCAAATTAAAAAAACAAAACAAAAACATATTAAGTGATACTGACCAATCTCGCAGCTGCTGCCTTTATAACCACGTGGACAAATACAAGTAGAATTCAAGCATGAACCTCCATGTTGACAGGAGCAAGATTCCACTTTGTCTAAATACGACCAAATAGGATTCAATTATCCATTGTAAAGCAAGTTAATAAAATGACATTTATTTAAATAGAGAGGAAAGATTGGGCAAATTTGTTTTTATCTAACTTTATGATCAACAAAATGAAAATGTTTATATTAATTTAAAAATGAGATTATCAAGTGATTCGAAAGAAAACTCGCCTTCAATGTAAAAGGCCAAAACAAATCCGCTGCCTTCAAAGCCTATGTCACTTATAAACTCCACCTCTGTTGTGGTGTCATTTAAAATCATCCTGTCGGAAGTCCATAAAATGTTTTCTACCGACTGTTTACAAAATTCTAAATCACACATAATTCAAAATAAGTATATTGTATGAAAAAAGTGATTTTTTTTAAAGAATTAAATTAAAGTTTGACACATAATTCAAAATAAGTATATTGTATGAAAAAAAAAGTTAATTTTTTAAAGTTAAAATTATAGTTTGATCTCTAAACTTTAAGGTAAAAAGAGTTATCCCCTTCATCCGTTTTCATCCAATCGACTAGAAAACTTCGATTTTTAAAAAAATAGCTTTTACACACACACACACACCCTCCCTCCCTCACGTACACACACACACAAATATATTTCTCAATTTCTATTATAAATTTACATTTTTGCTTAGATTTTCGCAGTGTTATAGCCTTGTAATTGATAAATGGAAGCTGATTTTTCAAACAGTTTTTCTCTCAATGAATATCTCTCTTCCAGCTTTTTCAAATATATACATGTATATATATATATATATATATATATATATATAGAGAGAGAGAGAGAGAGAGAGAGAGAGAGAGAGAGAGAGATTAAATTGAAAAAGCTGGAAAAGAGATATTCATTGAGAGAAAAACTGTTTAAAAAATCAGCTTCCATTTATCAATTACAACGCTATAAAACTGCCAAAAGCTAAGCAAAAATGTAAATTTATAATAGAAATTGAGGTAGTTCGATCCTCAGGTTCTGAAAATCCGCTTTAATTTAAGTAATTGAAAATGCTCACAAAAATGTCTCTGATTTCACACAGTAACATGAATTAACCCATGGAATTTCTTCAAATTTCATCATTATAGTTGGTCATATTATATAGAGAAAATTATCAAATCTCAAATATATTTTCAAGAAATGCGAATAAAAACACTAGCTATGCATCTTCTAATTGAAAATTGAACAACAAATATATTTCTGAAAGAAAAATATAGGTATCCAGGCATTTGGAGAAAATTGCATCTTTTTTATGCTTATACAGTATTTTAGTTCTTCTTTTTACTTCAATTGTAATTTAATACATAGTGTAAACAGCTTGTGTTATCATTGCTAGACATCACATTTGATTTCATATCATGCTTATAAGCAGTGGTATCTAATGCCAGATTAAAGGAAATTCGATTTCTCTAAAACTGAATTCATTTTTCTTTCTTTTATGGTGGACAACAGTCAGCTTTTTAAAAGACAGTTTCTAGGACTTCAGAGAACCTTGAATCATATTAAGATGCATAAAATGAAAATTGTTGCGCAAAAGGATCTAAATTTCAAGCTTCATTTTGAGACTTTTTAAATAAAATAAATTTAAGAGTATCCTTCCTGGCTGCGGATCGGATATCCTTAAGCTATAATAAAATGTAAAATACATGATGTATAAATGATGCTTTAAATTAATTTGGTTTTAACATTAAGCAGGTCTGTGGAAATGTCAAAAACAGCATACATACTGACCGACACCAGCTATCATGACGTAATCAGTGCAACCATCGTAACCTTCTTCTAAATACTGAGACCGGAACTCAAAAACTAAACGAATGTTCTTCTTCTTTACAGCAGGTTTCACTATCCAAGAACATTGTAAATTACTGAAATAAACAAATACTATAAAATAAACTAGGTTCGAACGTTTTGTCTCTCGCCATTATTGAAATCCTTTTAGGAGTACCTTGGATAATTAGATGGGAACCCCGGAGATATGATGTATTTAGGTGTAGATTCTGCCGGTAGTGTTTTCTCAGTAGAGTCACAGGTATCGACTAAATGAAAACAAAATTTAGTTGAAAAAGTTACTCTATCACGAAAAAAGATACCAAATCATGACAAAACATGGCGGATGTGACCGGCTGTCTGTCGTCTTAGGGCTCCATAGCACCTTCTTTCTCACCTTTGGCGTTATCAGAGGTCCGTTTTCTGCTCACAGTTTGTAGTCTTTAATTACACATTTGAGCATGGGTACTTTTTGTCATCCTCGCATTTCATTATATTTACTAAAATATCACATGTGTTTTTAGGTTAACCTATCCATATACATATTTTCCTCAAAGGTACTAAATTTACCTTACATATAATTGATTCTTTTTTCTGGAATTAAAATTTAGTTGTGCAAATTTGGAAGTAAAATTAAACTAAACTATAAGTTTATTCGGCCTACTTTTTTTGCTTTCAACCGACATGAAGCGAAACTGGAAACCGCCCTCTTTATATGGAGATGATGATGTGATTGTCAGGAGAATTTCTGAAGATGCAGTCTGTATAATTTCCCTACAATTTCCATCTGAGTTGGGACAGCTGACACAACTATCCATCACTGTTAATGTTGTTGGACCTTCAACAAAAACAGATTTTTTTTTACAAACGTTTCTAGTTCGGTACCTAGTGTCGTTAAATAATTTTCAATCTGAAATTGAAAAAAAAATGATTTCACAACAAATTATAATTTGTCATCTAAGCATTTCCAACTTCAGATTGAAAATTATTGAATGACAATTGTAATTGTACGTCTAACAATATATTAAAAAATGGATATAGCAAGGCTTTATCAAGGTTTGGTTCGTTTTCATTAAAAAATATAGAACACAATTAGATTAAACTAAAAAATAATAATTCTGTTTAGCGGTTTTTTGATTTCGGAAAAACTTTGCCATGGTTACTAGAACTGACATTTTTATATAATTATTTCAAAACGCTCATTCTACTTAAGTTTTTTATGAGATCACGATAAAACGTGGCACACAAGAAGACAAATAAAAGAAATATATCTGGTTCATTTTTTATTATGACTAACGTTCTGGTTATTTAAAATACAAATTTATGTGCATTTTTTACAAATGCTACAACTCCTAATTTTTTGGTCCGATTTCTATGAAATTTTTATCAACAGGAAGACTTTACTGGAGCAGAAAAATTACTAAAAACCATGTTTGAAAAAAAAAAATGATTTCAAGATGATTTGCGAGATCAACGCAGAATGTAATAATGTAATAGCGCAAAATGTAATAACACAATTTTTTTAAGTTGTTACATTTTGCGTTACTTAATTTTGCGTAGAGGACAACGCAAAATGTAATAAAACAAAATGTAATAAAACAAAATTAATTGATTTAGACATAACAATGGGGAAACTCGATTTACCAAAATGATAGATAAAAAAAATGACTATGTGGTAAACTTCACGGCTTTTACGAAAATAACAAATTTAATTCTATATTTTGTCTAACTCTGTTTCTAATAATGGTATTAAATACTTTTAAAACATTAACTTAACTTTGATTGACGTGTCTATTTATAAATCAGTCTGTATTGTATATCCATCACTGACATTTTTAATTACCAAAGATAGACCATGGGTCTATTAAAAGCTCTTCATATGCATATACGACTTGCATGTGTAAATTGGTTAGCAAATCAGAAGTGTATGTATGTGTGTGTCTGGCTAGGAGAAGTGGGAGATGGGGGTTACTTCGTATGTTTCTCATTGTAGTTTTATGCGCACGAAAAACTATCCATTTTATTATTGGAGAGAGAGAAAAAATGAACAGAGAGAGAGAGAGAGAGAGAGAGAGAGAGAGAGAGAGAGAGAGAGAGAGAGTAAAAATAGATTTATTTTCTTAATTTAATGCATGTGCCTTTCAAAAAGCAAAAGCAAACTGATACACTGATCAATGAAATTTACCCACCCACCCATCCACACACACGTACGCACGCACGTTTCTAATTTGCAACGCCTATGATTTCAATATAAACTGATTTTAAATGAGATCTAATGTAAGAATAAGCATATGTTTATTTTTCATTTTGTTTTATTTTCTTTCCGTTTATTTTCTTTATTTACTACTCAATTGAACATTATTGTCAACCTGACAGACCAAAGAGTGTGTAATTACATCTGCGTTGTTGCATTTTGCTTAATCTCGACGCAAAATGTAAAAACGCAAAATGTAATAGTCCAACAACCGTATTACATTTTGTGTAATTGCATTTTACATTGATATCGACGCAAAATGTAATAACAAAAAATGTAATTATCCTTAAAAAATCCATTTTTACATTTTGTGTCATTACATTCTTCATTAAACTGGACGCAAAATGTAATAATGCAAAGTGTACTAATCCCAGTTTATTACATTTTGCGTTGTTATTACATTTCGCATTGTAACACGGCTGCCACACAAAGAAACTAAATCAAGGATCAAAATTGTATTCATTGAAGCTGCTGTAGTTTCAAGTTCAAGTATTACTTTCTTTCTTTCTTTTTTTTTTTTGTTTGTTTTTTTAAGTTCAACTTTTTTTTTAATTTCGTAGAACTGAAGTCCCTTCAGAGACTTCTAGTTTATTTATGAATTAATATGTTTCCTCCTTCTGATATACTCTTACTTAAATAAACCTAGAAATATGTCCTAAGGAAATGAATACCCCGGCCAGGGTTCATTAATAATGCAACATGAAAAGCTGTACTAGTGTATGAAGTTTGATGAAAATATCTTGAATAGTTTCTTTAAAACTGAGTTTTATACACAATATATAAAGTAAAATCAAAGGTCATTGGGAAGGTGAAGATAAATAAAATGGACACAGTTGGTATCCTCATCAAATAGATCGGTGAATAAGCTTATATAGAAATATCTTGAACAGTCTCTTTACACTGAGCTTAACACAAATTAAATAAAGATGAGGTCAAAGTAAAGGTCAAGGTAAAAAATGTTGATCAATTGCATAATCCTC